GGTTGGAGAGAGAGACGGTATACTCTACATGTATTAGTGATGTCATCACTGAAAAACTGTATCCAAATGTACAATTGGGAATTCTGCTTCATAAATCTCAGTGAAAACAAATACTACTTTTATACAGTGTACCAGGGGTAACTCCATATTTGATTTGCCTGGCCATTCTGCTGCCTGCTATTTTTACAGGACCCTGGATGAAACTTGTTTATATGATCTGTGAGTGGCTGTAGACCTAGATCCCTGTTCATAATACACAGAGGTGTTTATACGCGATATTCAAGCAATGCACACGGGTGAATGTCAGATACAGGTGTATATATTTAGGAGTGAAAGAACCTCATTTTCCGGCTTGGCATTTAAACCAAGTTATGGATATCTGTTGGAAAATGCAAGCTCAGGGATTTGTAACAAGGAAATCCAAAGTGAAAAACATGCCCACTGTGTACAGAAAGAGGATATTAATAACTTTTAAAGACAAATATTAAAACCTACCTTCTTGGACAATATTTGCTAAAAATCTCTCCAAATCCTTCATCCAGTTGCCCTAGTATCCAGCAGCTTCAGCTTTGCAGATCTTTGATTTCAGTCAAAATCCTCTTGTAAGCAAACTGAAAATTAGAGGATTTGTGGATGTGATAGACCAGTGTAGACTGGCTCCGAAAATAGTCTCTTCATTTAAGGATGGCTTTGCAGATATACATGTAGGCTTACCAGTAGAGCTAGATTTGTGACCTAAATGTGAAAACACTTGTTTTATCCCATAGGTGCTTTGCATGTTTTTCCCCTTTGGCACACATCCAGGTGTTTAGCCGTGTGGTTTCCCCAGGTTGTCCGTGAAACTATTCATCACCAGTAAATCTACCAATCTACACCCATACCGGTATATATGAGCCCATCCAGCAGAAATGAGTTTCAAGTTGCCAGAGCCATTTTTAAGTTGAATTCATTTAGCAGGAACCCTCAACAGTTTTGTCTGTTTTCATCTGGACGTCTATTGATTCATGGAAACCAAGGGCTCAACTTGCACTTTCTGATGTAAAGTAAAACACAAATAATGAAGACAGATTATTTTTATGGGAGTCTGTCGCACTAATATTGGTGGGTTTCCTTGTCTGTGTACATGTATGTGTCAGTCCCTTTAAGCTGTGTATGTGTCAGTCCCTTTAAGCATTAACCTTCTGCTGACCTTTTAGACACAAATGTTTTGATACTGTAAGAGAAAAACAAGCTTGTTTTCTTGACAGGAGGGTAACCACAACAAATATATAAAGAAAAGAATGAAATATATAAAAAGAAAATTCTGCCAGACTGTTCTTGTTCTTAGATGATCGAAAAGAAATGTACATGTACGTGTATCCAGTTAGCACAGTAAATTGTTATTACCATCTTATGAATGTATTGTGGGCCCGAGTCCAGCCACTCAGTGCATAGGCGTGCCCCTGTGGAAATTCAAACCTGCTGGTGCCTGCACATCCGCTGCAGACATCATTATCTCAAGAATTTGTTCAGGAGATCAACACTTGCGTTATGGACATGTGCCAGAGACATTACGCACATAACGCCTTCTTGCTTAACATGGAGGCATTTTTTGGGGGGGGGGGTCGCCCTCTGCATATGATGCGCTGGTGTGTGGTTCACCCAACGTTTCCCTTCCATGATCACATCTAGATCAGTGGTGAGTGCAACCTACAGAATATTTTTACATGGGGACTCAGAACTATTGTGTTCGTATGGAATGTGCATGCATTCAAAACTTAATACAGAATTAGGTATGTTTTGTATGAATTTTGTAGCTTTATATGCAGTCATGTATCAGAAAGTGCTTTACTGCCATTTTCTGTTAAAAACTAGAGGTTCGTTCGTCAAGTGCATTTGTTACAAGGCACGCTGAGTATGTGCAGCCAATTTCTGTCGAAATTTCTGTCTTTGGATGTATGCCTAGTTTCTTCCCACTGGCCTTTCTCTTCTTTGCCACTGATGAGGTGCTTGCAGTCAGAGCGGACACATGTATACAGTGTTCAACCATGTTCGTGAGAATGCATGTTATCTAAATAAAGATGGTGATTATCCGACATGTCTGACACAATCCCCCTGATGGGATCAGCAGGGAATCTTGCGATGGGAGAGAATTAAACGATGTAAAAGTTCATTGCTGCGTGTTGTGATCCAGGCACAACCGTGGGCTAGGGGGAAAAAAAGAATATCATATCTGGTTACACAAGTGCCAAGAAATTGCCGAGTCTGGGGAACAGGTTCAGATTGTACCATTGGAAAATAAGAGAGGATCTCAATGCTATTTCCGCAGATCATTGACATTTACTGGTCTTTCACTGTTGCTCATCTACAGTGTTTTGTTGGACAAATCGATAGTTTCAGTGACCATGTTTAAATGTAAACACTTCCCCCCTCCCCCCAAAAAATGGAGGATTTGTTGAATGCTGTAGTGAAAGACCGGACATTATTCAGTGTTTGAAAAACAAAGTGTTGATACCAAATGACGGTAAAAGCAATTTGTAAGATTGCACATGAGGAAGATGAATAATCCCGACAAATTGGATTGAATGCTTTGGGGAGATTCTGGCAGCTGTCTCTGGGAAACACGATCTTCCTATTTTTCTTCATACCTGAGAGGCTGCTGTTTGTTTTCTCTAGCTGTGATTCTTCTGTCCACAGTTCTCAGATTCCGCGGTTTCTGTTTAAAAAGGGACCGGTTGTTTTTTGGGGGCTTTAGTTTGGACGGCATCACTCATGCCAGGATGAGAAGGCAGTTGTCCTTCCTTTTTCTTTTTTTTTTTTTTGGTTTGATTGAAGACTCATCTTTCAAATGCCACAGGTTGTGTCTCACATTGAAGCAATTGTGAAATCCCAAACGTATTCTGGCAGGAGAGCATTGTTTAAATATCACTGTCGACGATATGCCTTATTTGCTAATGTGTGGGGGTTGTATTTTTGATTGGATTTGTTCAAATGCAATCGATTTTCTTTTTGGACGAAAAAAGGACCTTATAGAGACGGGTCAATATCAGTCGAAATGCAAAAATAGCACTCTTTCTGATTTTGCCTGCAGTACATCTTTTAAAGAGATAGCCAAGCTGTTGGATGAATGAATTCTCAAGCCACCGAATTCAGTAGATGGTGGAGTTTTTCTTTGGTTAGTTGTTGATCTTCAAGAAACGTGTCTGGTATCTCTCTACCTCATCAGTCTGTAATACTGTTGCAACTGTGCACTGTGCAGGGATCCCGAGATCCTTCCTAGGATTGTTGGAGTTCGACTCAAGCCTTCAACATCCAGGCTGGGTCTCATCTAGTGGCCCATCCATCTGATTTTTGGACTTGCAATGTGTAATTTTGGACAGATGACTTTGCAAAATGGACAGACCAAAATGACAGGAGGATTTTTTTTTTGTAACTATTTTTATGTACTTGAAGGGATTTCATTGTTTTTTGTTTAGAAAAAAAGTAGAAGAAATACCTCGTAAACTGACCGACCAGCCATACATGCTTTGCGAGCATGCTTTTCATACTTCATGGCTCCAGACACATTGATGTACAGTACATGCATACTACATACACACAAGATTACGCTTGCAGAATGTCCAACTTAATCTGGGGCGAAATTCGTAGAGCTGCTTAAGCACAAAATTTGCAAAAGCATGAAAATACTTGCTTGACAAATCAGGTTACCAGCCAAAACTCCATGTTATGTACCGGTATGTTGGTGTGGAATGGTATTCACCTGTCTTTTGGTTAGCATGACGATTACGTAGATTTTGAGCTGGTAACCTTTGTTTTTTTAAGCAAGGTTTTTTGTGCTTAAGCAAACTTTGTGCTTAAGCAGCTCTATGAAATTGGCCCCTGGTGTCCGTAACCATTTTTCAAGTTCATGTGCAGCACTGCATACGTGTATGTCAGTGTATGAGACATGTGGTACCTGTCAGACAGCCCCACTGTTAGCTGGTCTGGCAATCAGACTACTTTTTCCATCACATCGCATCACATGCCACAACTGTACAGTATTTGTGGAAGACACAAAGGACATGTACTTTAGAACTGCACCGTCGGGAGAACGGCCCGTTTTGGAAATCCTGTGTTAAACCCTGCATCTAGGGGTGCTACATGTAGTTCATATCTGTTCATCCTTTGACCATGCTATCCCCGGGTTTCTTAGCCTATTTGAATCAAGTGATACAGGTTCACATACATGTACCAGCATATTTTCATTCAAATTTTTAATTAAAACTTAAGCCAGAGTCAAAGGCAGATGATGCTTTGGCTTATGATGAACCTTGAGTTGTCTTGCTAAAAGACAGCATCGTGAGCAGCCTTGTCAAGCAGCACTTCTAAGTAAGGTACCGGTATTGTTTGATAGCAATTGGACACTTTAAGGTTTACCAATATATTTGTGAAATGGGAGACTTTTGAGGCACTTTGTGGTAGCAACGCCTGCCGTCCTTTTATATTATTTGCCCCATTTTGACTCGACAGAAAAAGTTGGCAAGGAATTTTGTGCTTGTTTGTACTAAGCGTTTCAAAAGTCTACCATGTCCTGGAAATATCTGTTATTTTTAAAGTTTTCAGTCATTGGTATTTGAAGGGGTGTGTCCTTTTTAAAAAACGGATACACACAGTGTTCAAAGGCATGAATGGTAAAAAGTACGTGACGTGAACAACATTGGAAGGTCGGAGAAACGTTTGGATAGACCTCTGTACAGATGACATGACACTTTATTCACATGTGAATTTTCCTACGGAGCTACTGGTGGCTTGGGATCCACTGAGCACTGTAGGACAGCACATACTTTAAGTGCGGCCTCATCAGTAAAGAGGTCTGATGAGTACTGAAGAATATTGTTGTAATAAACAGAGCTACACCACGAATTTGACGGCTTTCATTATCACATGGTGAATGTTATTTTCAGGCGAATCCAGTGATATTTGTAACACTTGCGCTCCTCAGGAAAATTGAACACCATTCTCCCACTTCTCTCTCCCGGCAGATGTCTGCTGCGTTTCCCGAGCACCAGCATCAAGATCATGTTCCAGGCGTTGATCAGCGAACAGAGCCCACCCCCGCTTATGGCTGAGCCCTCTCCCATCAAGCGTAAGATGATGCCGCCCCTCAAGATTGACATCCCCCCAGCCGAGACCACCTTTGGCAGTCCTTTCCCCTCTCCCACCGGCACGATAAGGTGAGGCTTTTCTTTCTTATTTTAACGTTAACTTTGTTATTTGGTATTCCTGTTCTGTGTGTGGGATATGCCAGGTGATGTCACCTACTTTCTTTTTCTGCTCAGGAAATATCCTGAACAGTGGACATCTACTTAAGGTCAACTTGTCAAATACATTTGACTCCAAGAACTCCAGCCTTGCTTGGCCACGAAGGCCACCTGCCAAACCCCAAATTCTCGGTTTGTGTCCCAGCGTGCTCTGCACGCTTTGAATTACACAGTGAAAATGCTGATTGTTCGATGGCATGCGGCTCTACTCACGCTTCCACGTTCCCGTTGCCTCTCTTCAAAGTGGGGACTATTGTGAAGCTGGTGATTATGATGCAAATTTGGCCTTTTGATTTCTGGGCTACACACAAAGGCCAATTACCATATATACAAGAGCTAGGGTCTGCCTTCTTTCACCGTGTTCACTCGAGCGTGGGCCAAGAATAAAAGCTGAGAAGCGGGCTGAGTCTCAATTTTTACAGGGGCTCTAGCCGCGTCCCGGCGCAAAGGGGTTAATCATTGTTGGTTTTGTTTTGCTTTTTGTGTTTGGGGTATCTAAGTACAGTATGTGAAATTTTTTTTTTGTAAAGTGGAATCAAATTCTCAGAAACACACTTTCAAGTAATTGCGATTGCCATGAAACTTTTCATTCAATTATAGATGAATAACATTTTTCTTTTTCCTAATTTGAAATGCCTGTATTGGCGTCATTGGAGCTGTGCATAATGTTTTGACATTTTGCTAAGGCTTGCGAGTTGGAGCTAAATGGCAGCTTCCCTAAATCATGTCGCTTATGGGTGTCAATTTCTGTTTGTCCTGTATGTTGTTAATAGCTTTTACCTCAACAGTCTTGAAAGTGATCAATTTCACAGGAGAGTATCAGTCTCAAAGTTATGCAAAATTTGATGTTGTTATCTGTTGGCCTCTTGTCTTTTCCCAGTGCCGTGAACTCATGTCCCACAAGCCCCCGGGGCGGAACGGGAGCCAACTCCAGGAGGAACGTGACCCCTGACCTTCAGGCGGCCGCATTGGCGGCGGCTGCTGTGTCCTCGGACGACAAGGAAGGAGGTCACTCCTCAGGCAATGACATCGGCAGCCCCAAGGAGGAGTCCAAGCCGCCGTACTCCTACGCACAGGTAGAGAGCATTCCCGGGTCTTTCTTTTTGTTTTATACATCCACTTTTAACACAGAAACTCATCTTCAGTTCTTTGCGCTTAAGATGTCCAATGATATCAAGGGTAATAGTCAGCCTTGTACTCACTTCCCAATCGTGAAATCCTTGTCTTCTTAAAAAGAAAAGAGAAACCAATTTGCAACCATTATAGTTCCATTATAGCACTTTCAACTGAGAAAAACTGTTTTTTTTTAATTTTCACAACACTGTCTCGATTAGCATAGTATTACACGTCACATGTTCACATAATTCTGTAAATTACGTTTTAAGTAGTAATGAACTTTGGTGAAACTAACCTGACTCTATTCTTTTTGGGGGGGGGGAACAAATGAGTTTGAAATGACCAGTACCATTTTGCACCACATGATAAAGTTCTCACCTTCTCCAACCGTGTTTCTGTTTTCTTACAGCTCATTGTACAGGCCATCATGTCTTCGACAGATAAGCAACTGACTCTCAGCGGTATCTATGCATACATCACCAAGGCCTACCCCTACTACAGATCTGCCGACAAAGGCTGGCAGGTCAGTGTGGGCCGGCACAACAAGTGGTCTCGTTTGCAGTCTGTGCGACGCAATTTATTTGGCTGCGACCCATGAAAATGCACCTTTGTGTTTCGAGTTACCTCATTTTCATTTTTTTGGGCTCTGCTCTTGCCAAATGCATTTTGGCACCTTCTATGATATTGCAGATTTTTGGATTCATAATCAACACTGTGAAGTCATCTCATGGTGAAAAACCTCAATATCTGCTTTGACTCGTGCACAGAAAGTGCTAGAACTGCTGCCACTTTGCTGTTTCTAAATTTCTTTTTCTTTGGCTATTTACTTTTGTGTGAATACATGGCAATAAGCCAACAAGCAACCTTTTCTCAGGAGCGTTTTCAGTTGGTAAATTTTCAGTTCACAATTGAACAGAAACACATAAACCGAACAGTGTCTCTCCCCATTGAAATCAGGCAACAGGGCCTGCAGTTTTCCAGAAAAACTTGGAGAATTTTCAATGTTTCAAAACGTTTCAATACACTTCATCCAAAAGGATTTCTAATAGCTTTCGTTGATAGAGAGTATTCAGATGCACTAAACAGTGTCAAAGAAAAATTTATTACATGGACCCTATCGCCAATTCCAGGAACATAAAAAATTAAACACAGGATTGCTGCTGGAGAATGATTCTCCTCTAACCCCAACAGTCCTCAGTGTTTCACCCGTTGGATCATTGAAGGCTGTTGGGGATAAGCTTGAACTCACTGAATGTTAATGCAGATGACAGGAGATTGAGATTTATAGTACATTTGCGTCTAATGGGACACTAAATTGAGTTTGGTTCTTAGAAAAGGTGTGCCACTTGACAAGTAAAAACTTAACTGACGCATTATCCCCTGTGAGAAAAATGCTGTATGGAAGCATCGGGCTCATGTCTCTTTTGCAAGCAAGTTTTATCTCGACCTTGCCAATAATTTGGTCATTTAATTTCTAGGTTATTGCAAATGTTCCCTCAAAATTGCTCCAGTCCCGTTGTCCGACTCGCTGGTTTCCAATGCTTGGTTTTTTTGTTTGCACCGGTTCCGTTGCAGAATTCCATCCGACACAACCTGTCACTGAACCGCTACTTCATCAAGGTCCCCCGCTCCCAGGAGGAGCCGGGGAAGGGGTCCTTCTGGCGGCTGGACCCCAGCTCCGAGGCCAAGCTCATGGAGCAAGCCTACCGCCGGCGGCGCCAGAGGGGTGTGCCTTGCTTCCGGACGCCCTTCGGAGGGGTGTCCTCTAGGTTAGGATTAGAGCTTTTTCTGGTAATAGTGTGGAAACATTGTTTGTCTTGAATTCTATGCAATTGTAAACCTGACCTGTTTACAGTCGAACGTCACAAATAAAAACACTATAAGTACAACATTCTGCTTATAATGAGGAAACTTTAAGGTTCTGTTGTTTTTGGTTCTTGTTATAACATCTTAATCTGCAAAGTCCAAAGGACCTCTTATTAACGAGGTACAGTTTTACTTGGTTTCACTTGTTTAAATAAAATTTGTGGATGGTTTCGAAGACAAGAAATTCATACCAGATGTGTAAGGCAAAGACGCTAAATAAAAAAGTACGCCATCATTAACCTGAGCTCCCTTGGCGAGTCTGCTCATAAACCCACTCACACCCTTAGGCGTGTTTAAAAACGAATCGCTCACGGTCACACACCGACCTGTAATACCAGTATATCTTCCTCCTGGTCACTTATCAGTAGGTCAGCCCCCGCCAGTCCCTCCCACACGGTGCAGTACATCAGCGGTATCTTCACCCCGGACAGCCTGTCGCGGGAAGGCTCCCCGGCCCCCATCCCTGCAGACTCAGGCGACCATGCCGTGCTGGATCATCAGCGGTTTACTCAGGCTATGCAAGAGGTATGTAGGTATCACGGGTTGGCAGGGACGGCGAGCCGCTGTCAAGGACAAATATAGATTTCAGAAAAATGTAGAGGTTGATGGTATTTGAGGAAAAATGGGCAAAGCTCGGGGGGGAAGGGGGAGGACTTGTTCGGTTCAAGAGGGAATTTTTTATCATTGTGAGAGAATGGTTATGGTTACTGACCCTGGAATGTCTAGGCACTTCTCAGTTTTTTTCATATTAAAGGGCTTTTGCCCGTAAAACTAGCTTGCCCCAGTTATTATGATTTATACATGTATTTTGACATGGAATAGTGTCATTAGTTGAAATGTCAGATTGTTAGATTGTTGATGTCTTTGTAAGTTTTCTTTTTGATGTACTGTTTAAATGCTGTGTTCTAGCAGACCATTTGAAACTTTGAAACTTGAATTGCGAAAGTGGACAAGATATGCACTATTGTTGCTCAATTTAGGTGAATTCACTTTGTTGATTAATTATTTTCAAAATATTTTGGAGCCAATGTGCATCAAATATTTGATGTCCAAAATGCAATTTGTAGGAATTGATGTCATTTGAGAGAGACTTACAGAGGCCTGTTATTAATTTGAGACATAGGTAGACAGTGGAGAGCGGGAACAAAACTGAAAAGACACAGGAACACAGCTGCAGGGCATATAATTGGACGTGATGCGAGTGTGACCTTATTGTACCAGAGACCGTGAGTGTGATGCTGCCATTTTGTTTTTGTTTTTTGGGGTTTACTTTACCCTCTGCAGCAAGTGAAGCGAAGCATCTCCAGCCCGGGCTCCCCGGTCCACCCACCGGCTTCCTTCCAGCAGCAGCCTCAGTCCACGGGCGCCGGCCAGCCCCACACTGCTGCCGCTGGTGCTGCTGTGGCTGCCGCTTTACCCCAGGTCAGCAGCGGTGGCATTAGCACCCAGGCCCCGCAAGGCGGCTCCCCATTTGGCCTGGCCCTGCATCGGATGCCGGCTCACGCCGCCTCGGTCATCACCTCTGCTAAGGTTGGTGTCGTAACCATGAGCTCTCTCTGTAAGCAAGTACAGGGCATGGGACTGGAGCTCAATAAGGTCCACCTTCAAAGGAGGGATGGCGCTTTATTACCCTGAAAGCAATATTGTCCATTTGGGCCAGCACTTGGAGTGCTCTTGTTTGCTCATTTGTGGCATAGAGTAGACAGGAGTAATGAGGAAGTTCCCCCAAGCAAAGAGGCGTCAGTTTCATCAGAAATTTATTCCATATTCTCCAAGATATGGCAATGAATGCAAATTGCTGTTGCCAAAATATACAATTTAAGAATTAAAAGTTAGATGGGTCATTGGCTTTGGTGGTTGTCTGACCTCATGTGGAAATTTTGATGACAGTTAGTTGCTTGTACAAGGTTTTTGGCCGTAACCCATCATTTTGGATTTACTGCTGCCATTGTTAGTTATGCCGGACTGTTAACGGTATATGTACATGTGCACAAAGCGAAACAAGAATGACGCAGGACTGATATGAATAGCAAAACGTATGCATACACAAAGCCACTCACATGCGAACCCTTTCTGTGTTCGTCTGAAATTGCACAATGCCACGAATTTTTCACTTATGCTACAGCTTCAAAGCTGCATTAGCATTCAGGTGTCGGTCCAGCCTGTTGTTGTCATGGAAACGCCTGACTTTGCTAATAATTCCCCCCCCCCAAGAAATACACAACTTAACCCCTTTTTGCCTTTTCCTTCCTTGGCCCTCTCTACTGACCACCCCCCCCATGCCTCTGACTCCCTTGTAGGGCTACTCCATTCCTGCTTCGACGGCCGCCTCTCCCGTCTTGGTCCCCGTGATGACCGGCATCAGCAACGGTTACCAGAGTCAGCCGCCGCCCAGGGAGGAAGTCTCCTCCACAGATGGGACCGGCAGTCTGAAGCAGCCCCTTCAGGACAAGGAGGGCTATGCCGAAGGTACTGCACTGGGGCTACCACTTGGTATCTTGTCTTTCACCCTAACCCTCTCATATCCTTTAAAATCTATCAGAAGGTTTTGGAGGATGCTGCAGGATTCGAGAAGGCAAAGCCCACCCTGTATTATGGGATAGTAAAAAAAAATGGATGGTCCAGTGATGTCCTGCACAGCGAGAGATGATTGCAGGGATTATGAATGTTCCTTGTAAAAGTGCCTTGGGAGAAAGGATTAATGATCAGTCTTTTGGCCATTTTGCGTTGTATGTTACCGGTACCTGTAAATAAACCTTGTTACCAAAGTGCTGAGCAGAGGTTTTTTGTGGGTTTTTTCCAATTTTGCCTGAGTTCAATGCTTTCAGATTTTCTGTAGATATTGCCAAAGTAATGAGTGCAAAGATTTTGTGCTCATTGTAGATGTTAAACAGCCGATGGTGTCCAACAGTAGTGCCATCAGCGCTGCCAACAACAACGGCAGCATTCACCAGCAGCTTCACCTTCAGCTACAGCAGCAGCAAAAACAGCACCCCACTTCCCTGCCCCAGCCCAAGGGCATGGTCAATTCCAGCCAGCCGGCCGAGGGCGCGTCCCACGTGGTGACCGTCTCGGGCACCTACCAGCCACCGACCAGCGTCTTCTACCGGCCACAGCAGCAGCCGCCCCAGAGCCAGCCGCCGCCGCCGCCACCGGCCACCAGCTCGGTCATCAGCTCGCCGTTGGTCATGCTGGCCACATCGGCCGCGCAGTCGCACACGGGAAGCCCAGCCAAGCGCCGCATGGAAGGGATCGCTGAGGAGCCCATGGAGGACAACCGCAAGCTGGTGAAAATGGAGGGCCAGCAAGAGTCTTGAGGACACCTCCCGACAGCTGGAGCTGTCCACCGGTAGGTTGACCATCATGGAACCACATGGGTTGAGGGGCTAGTTTTATAGCCCTGCTTTCTAACCAACCACTTTGTGAATGTCTCTGTCACTTTCCCCTCCGAGTCCAGTGATACACGAATTTCAAAGCAGTAGTCTGTATATTTCACTATGCGCGCAGGGAAAGGATTCTCTTGTACACGTGTGTTCTGGATAAAATTGATAGTCGTACAATGCCACATCTGCCGTGTGTCCGTTTTGACACCATCCCTCCCCTATTGTCTTGCTTGGGACAAACAAGTCCCTGTAAGATTTCGTCGTGGTTAGCTGAAGCTAGAGTCGTTAAAACCCATGAGTGCCTGCCCATGCTGATCTTTGGACCAGAGTGGCTCTCCCCCCCTTTTGCCGTCGATTAATCGTTGGGCTCGTGGGTCTTGTTTCAGCCAACAGTGCACAATATGGAGAAAAAAAACAAAAAAACGAAGAACAGAAAAATGACTAGACATTGTGTTTGGAAGATGTAGTCGCATCTGTAGTGTTGGTCAAGGTGACGCCTTGAAAATGATACAAAACCCGTGCGCTGGTGTCTTGAAGCACTTGTTAATGGTGAAAGTATCTTTCATCGTAGTTTAGGCAGAGCAAGCGCACCCCACTACATTAGCGATGCTTTTTAATCACAGTAGTTTACTCGTAGCACCTGTAGCTGTTTATTTAGCTCCGTTTTTCACAAAATGCCCACACTCTAAAACTAAGTGTATGTACGAGAAAAGCCTTAAAAATTGCGAAGAATTTAATGAACTAGAGAAATTCATATTCGTTGCTTTGTGTTGAATTTAAATAAACAGAGACTACTATTTTGGGGGCCAAATTTGTTTTGAATCAGGAGTTGTGTAACATGATGCTTTCATCGTCAAGTGGTTCATAAGTTTTTGTACAATTTTTTGTTTGTTTTAAGAAGTCAGTGTTATGCTTGATTTTAATTGTTTTATACGGGGCGCAAGGGCATTGATTGTTTTTTTTTTTTGGTCATGGGAAAGTTAGTTGTTACTAAAAGGCTGTTCGTTCAATATGAAGAGAAAAAGACTGAGAATTACTTAATGGACATAATGATGTATAATAGCACAGTTGTTCATAAAAAAAATAAATAAATAAAATTTGGATCTATTTAGTTTTGTATGTTGACTAGAAGCTTTATTTTACAGATGTTAATTTCTTTGCGCTAGCAAGTGGCCTTTTGGGCCTTGGAAAGAGTTTTCCATCTCTTACTGTAGGGAGGCCTTCTTTGCACAGTAATGATGGACTTACACTTCTAGTTCTTCTATTTCCAAAAGTCTTCAATAGCTTTGAAATTCGGTGCATCCTTGCTTTACTGAGAACAAACCATCCCTGAAAAATTCATACACTCTTTAAAACACTTGAGTAATCTTTTAAAAACACTTAATTGTTTGGAGAGAAGTCAATCAAAGATTTATGTTAAAATTTGGAGGAGATTAATTTTCAAAAGAGGACTCCAATGATTTTTAGCCTGTCTAGCAAGCTGACCCTTGACCCATGGCCTCTTTCAAGATATACTTTTAAAAAATGGTAACAGTCTGTATAACTTTGCTTTTTAGTGAACAACTTTGCATATATTTCAAAATGACTTCTTGTTTGATAGTAAAAGTAGATTTAGAGGAATGATTTATATCCGGGATCTGATTTGGTGTTGGCATGTAGAAAGGACAGACTTTGGGGCGGGGACTGTTAAGGGGGTGTAGTGGGGACACTTTTTTGGGGGGGGGTTCCTTTTTTATAGTTGAAAAGTATTCAATGCCTTCAGGGGGTAAAGGGTGTATCTCTTCCCATCAAATTATGTTTCGTTTTGTAACCTTTCCAAGCTATGGTTTGTTAAATTTTGGTATGGTCATGACATGTTGGCAAGGCTGTTATTCCTGCCGCATTAATGTATGTCCAGTCACCCACTCATAAAATACATGCCTCAATTTAGGTTTTTTGTGACGGAAATGGAAACAGTTGGCATTCATCCTCTTGCTTTGCCAACCAGGTTTACAACTTCAGCTTTTTTGGCAACTATTTGAATCTAGTGTTGGAGACACTCCACAGCTCAGACAAACGTAGGCATAGTGCACCAGGTGTGTGCACTCTTTCTCGTAGTGAAGTTCGTATGCAAGGGTAGTATTGTTCCATGTGGTTCAACATTTATGAGTCTTTTCAGCTTTCAACACCAAGTGGCTCAACTCTCAAAAGGTTAGTTCGGAATGTGTCAAGTCAGAGAACTGAATTCTGACGCTCTTACAAGACAGAAATCGTTGTCGGATACTTTTTTAAATGCCTGCCTTTGTTGAAATTTGCTCGCCACCAAATTTGCTCCATTACAGCTAATACAACTATCGTCCACCCATGCAATGGTTGCAAACAGAGGTACCCATTCAGACCCTATGGTGGAGGTCTGGTGGTGTATGTGTTATCATGCACTACTCCAGCACTGAGTCTTTTTATAGCAAATCTTCAAACTTGTCTGTTCTTGAGGTTCAGGAATCAGGCTGCTAATTGTTCTCACTAGCAGCAGTTTCCAAGCTTATGTAAGCAAAGTTAGTTGGAAACTGATTGACAAAAGCAGTTAGCCTCATTTGACTGGCCTGTAGTCTGTTTTTGAAGCCAGGGAAACTATGCCACTTGTTAAGCCAATTCTGTGACCAACCTTCTCTGTTGTCTGGTTCCCTGATGTGACAATCCCCTCTCTGTGTTTAAAATTTGGGTTTGGTAGCCCCTGTTGACAAATATAGAACATGATGTAATGTAAGATGTACCGCATACTCTCTGGGGTGGAGGGTACACTTGGCTGTTACTTTAAGAGTAACCATTATAACAAGTTCCTATAATTCGCCCCAAAAAAGTTTTGAAATTGAAAAAAAGTAGTCAGAACTGTGTTGCGTGTTGGGAAATCTGTAAGGAAAGGTGGTTTATAAATATTAAATTATGCCAACATCAACAATATCTGAAATCACTAAAACATGGGCTCAGAAAATTTCAGTCGCTTTCCAAATATTTGGAAATGGTAGGAACTCTCCAGGTTTTGTCACATGCCACCTGACCTAAGATTTCTCACAGTAGTTGGAATCTTTTGGTCTGGTAGCAAAACTACTTTCTCTGTGTTGTGAATCAGTTAGGGTGTGCTTTCAGACAACATTGAATCTAGAAGGCTGTTACCTATTCAATCACTTCCCCTGATGATCACATTTATTGTAAGAGTTAAGTGTTGAATTTGTACTTGTTATGGCTGTGAGTGAATTTGGCAGAAACTTCTGTGGAAATCAAATGTGAAGCTGTCTTGACATTGTACAAACTTGGAAAGAATAAAGGAAAGTTGTACATAGATTGTATGATTTATTAAGCAAAGAAATAACAAAATCTAATTTTAGCCAATGTGCACTTTGTAAATAGCTGGTATGGAGCATTGCCTAGTGTCGTAAGCTGATAACTCTTGAAATATTTCTACCATTACTAATTACACTGAAAAGCTTGACATCCATTAGTGTGAGGTGCGCATTTTAGCAAACACTCAAAGAGTGTACAGGTGAACAAGTAAACACAGCATACATTTTCTATGTTTCAAGTTTTCTGATTTCCAATGTGATTTTGTTCAAGTGTCAGTAATCAACTGCTGTTTCTTCTTCCTTTCCCTTAGCATTTAAGCATGTCTGTAGAAATATCACATCTTGGAGTGAATTTGATCACAAGTGACCTAACCACGGTTCAACTATTTGAGATGTAATGTGTGGTAGTTGACAGTGGTTTAACCAGTCTTATCGAGTATTAACCCTAATCCCCAAGGGAGTATGTAAAATCGTATTGAAATTTGAGGATTTGGGACTGTTAGGGTTAAGGACCAGTCAATTGTGGTTGGTTGCATCACTGGTTATCAGTGCCCCAGCTTGTCAATGTACAGTAAGGAGCCATGACAATACCATTGCTGCTGTGACACTGAACCTTGAGTGAACTTGCTCTGGCTAGCATGGGACATGAAATGAGACGAGGAGTGGCTCCCAATTACAATGCATTAGTACACGCAAACAGTGGAAAGATAAAGGCTGCTTGCTTTACTGCTTGTTGTGGGCTTGTGGCATCCATTTTGTGTCTGAAACCTGTCCAAGTTCCGTCAACTTTCACTCTGTCACAAACAAGCTGTATCTTTCCCAAACACTCAACAGTGAAGGCCAGTACAGTTAACTATTGTGCTAACCCCAAAAAAGGAGTGGACAAACAGAAAAGCATAATTCAAGAAATGTGGGACGCACAGAACTTGCTCTTTATAACAGTGTTTTGTTGTAACAGTTCTTTATATCGAGAGTGGACTGCACATGGTGTTGGATTTGAGCCCAGTATCTCTCTACCACATGTTACTTATACACCTACAAGTACCATTCACGACTTTTAAACATGAAGTAGGTCTGAAGATTAAACTCACAAAGCTTGTGACAAATATATACTTATTCCATGTTCGTCACATATTAACCAAAAACTGTGATTTGGTAATTAAAAAGTCTGAAGCTTCTTGGCTTCTTACTTGTAATAAACTCAACTGAGAATTAATTGTGTAAAAATTCCTTTCTTATATCACCGATGGACAATATTGCTTTAAAATGTGCTTTTATCAAACAGTCGTAAAGCGTTAGTTGATGAAATGGTGATAATTTGTACATAAACTAACAAAATTAGCGCAGCATCATGTACCTCGTCTGCTTCTTCAGATATATCATCATTAGGCATTGTGTTTTCATAAACATTGGTCTATGCTTTTTTCTTTTGTTTTTGATTATATTAATGTAAGCTTTTATACTGAAGCAGCTCTTATTGGAGATGGAAAAAGTATAAGATATCAAGACTAACTAAACAAAAACATCTATGTGTTTGTGAGCTAACAAGTAATGACCATTGGACTGTAAGCAGAGTGGATAAATTTTCACTTCCTGAGTTCCTTTTCGTTTCACAGTCACCTGCATTTTATAATACGCATATCCGTCATGGCTTAGTTGCTGATGGGTACAGAGGGGTGAAATTGCAACCCCATCTTTTTTTAAATCCATTATTTATATGCATGTGTACATTTTTGAGCGACTCCGCCCGAGAATGGGTAATGTCATTCACGGTATGTGTAATCAGACTGGACAGCTGAGAGGGCATTGACGCAACTAAGGGGGAAATGATTGCGGGGGTGAAGGTGTTGAATTTAGACATGCGCACAACATATATACAAACCACAGTCTATTTGCTTGCAGTGCCCCCCTTGGAAACGTGTGCACCCCTGGGCACCCACCTCCCATATAAAATAAAATAAAATGAAATAAAATAAAACATCACTCATGCTGTATGAAGACCATGACCTTTTTTTAACTGTAATTTTATACAGTCGTCTCTTGTATTGAGAACCAGTAATTCACGGTTTTTTGGGGGGGTTCCTTTTTTTTTGGTGTGGTAGCTGCCAAAGACGTGGAAACTTGAAAAAAAATGAGAATGGAGTGAGATTTGTTCATCTGTTGAGGGGAATAGACCTGCAATGTCAAGTTCTGGGAGTAAAACCCACAGACTCGGGCAGGGACTGACTTATGACACTGAGAGGATTTGAACCTGGCCCACGGTGGCAAGGAAATTACCGGTGCACCTATCTGACTGAAAATAAAATCCCAATGGAAAGGCGTGTCTGCCTGTAACCCGTCCCTTTTACCAGTTTAACCCTCCCGGAAGGTACACTGTCAACTATTAAGAGCCTGCCACTTGTGAAAGTGCTTCTCGTGTTGAAATCGTCGGTTAGTTCATTCAAGGCCAGAGGTTTGAAGCAGCCATTTTATTAATTCGCACAATTCCACTGAAAATGTTTTAAAGTTGGAATACTGTGAAGTCTGTGGTAAACATATTGTGAATGAGCCAGCTGTTTTATGTAAGTTATGAAAACAAAATTGTAAGAGGCATGTACAGAATTTACCGAAAAACTAAGTGTGATATTAATGAGATAAAAGGATGCCGACTGTTTTGTGTCACATGAGTGTGTTCACACGTGGTCGATTTCCTTGTTCGGGGTATATTGATTGTCTTGAAGGACTCTCTTTTTAAGTGTCGTTTTTCGTTTGTGCTGGTTAGAGTAGAGGGCCACGAATCTCAGAAGGTTTGCTAGATGTCCAAAAAAAGCTCTAAATGTGACGGTCATCCCTCTCTGTTTTACTGAACCGCAATGTACGAAAAACGATATTTAAAAAAGGGGGTTATTTGATATATACAGAATGGATGTTTGTTTTTGTGATGTCCCAATTATAACCCCGCATCCCCTTCCCAAAGATTCATTACTTCATTTCGCCTTGTCTTAGAGGGTAACATTGAACTTTCACTATGTGAAGGTTCTCATTAATCATTGTGAAGCGATAACCATGGCGGAAAAAAATGATGAAAGCGTATATCAATAAAAAAACATTGTCTGAAAGGACGTGAATGAAACTTTGCAGGATCGTTCAGTTTGGCTTTACCTTTTTAGAATTTTTGGTCGTACCTGTTGCTAATGGTAACTAAGGAAAGGTCAGTTGAAATGGATACAGGAATTTATCATTGAAAGGAAAACGGAGCACGAGAGTGACCGGCAGATGTACAGTTACTATTGTGCGAATTTTGGATTGCATGCAACTGCACATGATTGTAGATCGATACAATGCCATCTCAACGTTGGCGATTCAGTTCAGAATTTTGTTTTTAAAATGGTTACGAAGTAATAATGTGTACCAGTAAAACAGTAAGTATATTTAATGGGTCGAGAGTGGTACACATGTAAAGTTTTTGTGTCTCTTTCGCTCATTAGAATTCAGGGCACATTGACTTCAGATACACCCCACCCGCCTGTTTCATATTAGCTTTCCACACCCATCCTTTGGGTACCGATAATGCGGAAATCAATTGTCTGTAATATCAAATTTTATTTTAAAACACACCAGTCCTTAAAATTAAAGAACCAGGCCAGTCATACGTCATTAATTTGTCCTCAGTTTGCACGTTTCCCACGTTTGGCCTTGCGCTGATTTTGTCCCGCGGATCATGACTTGATACGAACAGATATCACACCCATGGCATTGTTTTTGTAACAATAGTGAGATCGATTACACGCGTCTGTACCAAATGTTGCCGTTGTTCTGTGCGACTGGATGACCACGCCTTTTGGGCAAAGCCTGATCAATACCAATACACGCAGTATGTGGGGTAATCGTTTCGTAAATTTGCTTTCATTATTTTCACGCGAAGAGCGAGATATTCCTCAAGACTGAAGCTGCGGGGAGAATTGTCTTCTCCGTCAGGTGAGTCCTCTTCTTACAATAACTGCTACAAGATGGAGCTTTCTGAAATCGACAATCAACTTCTTGTTTTACAATCAACCTTGTATGTTCGACATTAAATGGCAGATCAGAGTAGATTGGATACTAACGCAATGCGATATAGCTGTAAAACCTGACAATCTAGTGTTGCGTGCCCAGAGTAAGTAGGTGAACTTCACCAGTTGAAATACTTTTTTTTCGTAATCCTCAACATGAATTCCTCCCTCACAGTGTTGGTGTTGATTTTTTTATGTTTCAGTTTGAGACAGTTAATCTCCTTTCTCTATTACACATGCAGCTAAGATGAGACACGATAACATTCAGGGCAAAGAGAAGAAACAGAATCGGAACTAAAGGATGTCTCACATCAAATTCGTTGTCATTATTCCCCAATTTTTTAAAACAGGCAACGCTCTAACTTTGTAAGAAATTTTTTTTTAACAATTTGTCTTTTCACTTTGTTTTAAATCAATAGGTGAAAACCGTATGTGAAAGAGATCAGAGACGACTGGAAAATAATTACCCTCGACCATCCAATCTGCCGGCTTACGAGGTGTCTACCTGCATCTAGTGCCGCATCCGGCGGAGGATATATCGAGGAGGAAACAGATTTCATCATAACTCTTCCTGTAGTGTAATCCCGTTAGCCACGTTTTGCAACTATATCGGGGCACTGGAAACTCCCCCAAATACAAGTGCATTTACACTCAGTTGGAAAGCTCCTGAAAAATACAACCGACATTCAAACAAAAGAACGGTTTTGACGGATTTCAGTAAATCTTTCCAGAAAGAAACAAAGGCCTGAAGGACAGGTGTGTCGATTAGAGAAATCCCCTTTCGAGACGTTTGATCATCCGGAAGAGCGGCTTAGCTATTTTTTTCAGATCCGTGTTCGACAGAAGACACTTGGACCCCAAGATGGAATTCTTGAGCAAATTTGTGGGAACTTTACTGGTAGCGGCGGCTGTTTTGGTCTTGCTCATGCCTTCAGTGTCAGCACAAGGTAGGTTCAGATTGGATGCCGAGGGCGGGGAGTGGGTGATACTCACGATCGTGAATATCGCAATGAGGGAACAAACATTTTTGACATTTGCTAAATATTTTTTTTCAATTAAGGAGTTTTGTTTTATACATGCATTCTAACAACTGGTAACATTTCACTCCAGAAAACGTAGCCATTGTTCACGAAGAATCATTTTCCATTAACAGTTTGCATATTTAATGCAAACTTTAATGACCACATTTGTGCAATTTGGCCGGGCCCTTGATACACGGGACGCGGGTTCACTCAACTACTTCAAATTTTAAATCTTGTCTACTGAGGTATTTACCAGAGATCTTTCATGCAACATCACCAAAAGCTCAAAGTTCACATTAGCCCTAACAACTGGGCTGTAAATGGCTGTCTTACAAAAAGAGGTAAAAAGAGAGCCAAACTCACATCGACGCTCGTGCAATTGTCATCGTCCGTCGTGTCTGGGCGGCACTTTTTGGACGTCTCTTTCATTGGGCTTAACGGTCCGTGTACGTTTCTTCCAAAAAAAAAATAAAGTTTTTTCGTTGTTCGTTTTGAAAAACAAAATCGAAGTTATTTCTTGTTTTTACCTTCAAAAACGAAAAACTTGGATCAAGTAAAAGAATTCATTTCTCGTTTTTCATGTTCAAAAACAAAAGTGTGATTTCTTGTGAATTTCATTTTAACCCGAATTTTGTTTTACAGGACGAATAGATCGAGGTAGGCCGGTTCTCTACTTAATTGTATCTATAGTAATGTAAGGTGGGTAGCCATCGCTTCATTAGATAAGTAATGACATCCTGTCTTTCTTCCACCTACCCCCCCCCCCCAGGATCGCCTCCCACACCAACTGGAGTGACCGTCCAATATCTCGGGACTCTGGTGATCGAGTTCAAATGGCAGGCCACCGCCGGAGACTTTGACAATTATCTGGCTGTATACTACGACGCCAACAATGTGGAAGTTGGCAATGATGTAATCCCTAAGACCGACACCTCCTTCAGGTACCAAGTCGCTGATGGTGTGGTGGGTTTCTCATTCCACACGGTGAGAGGAACCGATCGAAGTGCGAGCGCTACCCTGACAGCATTAGATCCGGTTGTTTACAACATTCGTAAGTTTTTCTCTGTTTTCATCAAGTAGGCCTACTTTCGTAGTGACTGTTGATACTGGTGCAGGTATTACTTTTGACTGATTGTATATTTTTGCTCAAAAGTGTTTGGGGAAATTATTACCTGGCAAACACTGTTTGGTCATGGCATGTTGAGCATGAGGAATAAAGTGGGGGGTAAATTTGAATAACCCTTGGCGCAGCCCTAAACCTGGCGAACTCACATTTTTGTCACTTATGTCAATGCTTTGCTATAGCAATATTTTTACCTCAAATTTCACAATAAATGATATTTGATCAAGGTTTCTACATTCCTTTTCACAAATCCTGACGTATCACACCTATTACAATTTCTGATGAAATTCTATTATGGCCCGATTTTCCAATTGTATTTGTTCAAAGTGCACAATGAAGTCTTTTAAAATGCACCCTAAAATAAGAAAATAATATTCTTGCAGTCTTGCATTTGGGTATGTAACAATGATTTATCAGAATTTGTCAATGTCGAAGAAATTCATAAGTGTTAATGTTGGATTTTTTACATTTATTGTGCCAAGGCCCTATTTTGTTGAGTTACGTAGTTAATTTGACTGTGACAGCTTGTTGATTTGATAAGAAATTTGCCTGGAAAATACGTTTTTGTTGAGAAAAAAAGTCACTTACAAAAATATACAGTGGAAATGTGAACCTAAAAATTAATTGGAGAAAGTTTGACATAGAAGCAGGCCAGTTGGGGGAGGGGTGTCCCCTGACAAGCAGCTGCTCCCCCAACGAGAAAAACCATAAGCACCAAAGTTGATCTATCGTTTTGAGGATGTACCCTCTAATTTGTGCTGTTCTCCCCATGTCCAAAGTCACCGACAGGGCTGCATGGAGGACAGTGGTATAACTTGATGGGGAGGGGACCAAGCCCCATTCCATATTCAGAGTTTGGAAGAAAAAAAAAAAAGAGTATGTAAACTTGCGTAAAATAGTTCTCCCTTTGGGAAACTAGGTTCCCCTCCCATGCATGCTGGTGAGGAAGATTTTATTATCAGTACTACCGATATATAATAGGTCCGGACAATGGAAGATCCAAGAGGGAAAATAGGAGCCGTGCAGGTCCCCCGGGGGAGGCAAAATTTCTAAGGGGTATAAAAAAGGCTGGAGGTCACCAGAACTTTTGGGGGGGGGGTGGCTGGCAAGGTAATTAAGAATACCAAACTGACAAACCATTAATAGTGGAAGGGAGTCATTTTTTTGGCGAGGTGTTTTTTAGCAAATTGGTCATTTCGTCCAGTTTGGCCTCCCTCCCCTGTTTATTTTGACTGTTTTCTTTTATTTTCCCTTTTTTCCCATTTTGTTTGGGGACAGGGATCCCCCTTGCCCATGGTCCATGTCAACCAAGGGGATAGGGGTTTAAATGAAAAAACAAAAACAAAAAAAGAGAGAGAGTTAAAAGCCCCAAATTAATATTCATCTCTCAGGAAGTGAAAGGCTGTCAAATCTATGGGAAATAGCTACCCATTTACGCAAACCAAACGAGTGTGTGCGAGATGACCTCAGTTATTGTAAAAAATGTTGCAACAAACTGCGTACTCGTATGCAAGCCTATTTCTAACTTGCATATTTGTTAAACTGGATTTGTTGTGATCAGAGCAAGACTTTGTGTATTCCTGTAAACTTCCATCGTGTGTGTGATAGTAGAGGAGTGTTCTTCCAAGTTTTTCCCTCCAGCTGTCAACAACTGTGCCTCTTTCCATCACATATCACATCAATAATCTCTATTTCAGAATTGCCCCCTGCCCAGCTCGGTGCACCCCAGCATGACTCCATTACCATAAGCTTCGCCGAAGCACCCAATCCAGCCGATAACATCGGCCAGTACATCATCAGCCTGGAGCAACCCCCAGGCACTGTTATTGAAACAGTAAGAGTGGACGCAGTGGCCGGAGCCACTTACACCTTCCAGGGGCTGAATGTGGCCCAATTTTACACAGTTCGGGTAGACGCAGAACTGGCGGACGGTCTTCCACTGGCAGTGAATGTCTCTGCAAATACTAATACAGGTAGGTGAAAACCCTCTCTCCCACTTCTCAGGAAAAAAATGCATCCCCGTTATTCCAATCCATTTGAAGTCTTCTCCTCATCTATCATAGTTTGGGAGTAGAGAGAAGAGTCGTTTCTGATTAAAATCTGAGATTTCAAGTCATTTACTCCTACTTTTACTGTATGAGTCAACTTTTTGTTTTACCATAGGCGTATTTACGGTCAGCTGTACTGTGATGGCACATTTCACAGTATCCAAAACATAAAAGACATTACCGCCACACATGATTATTAGATGGGCGTAAATCCCAGAGGTGGTGGGGGATATACCCCCCCCCCCTATTTTTTGAAAGGGGGTTCAACCATAAGATCATTTGATAGAAAGGGTGGGAAGCAATCCCACCTTCACCCCTAAACATACCTTTGTTTTGTGTTATTGACAGAGGGTCTTTTTAATCAATTCTTCTCTTTTCCTTTCTATTCTCGTCTTTTCCTTTTTTGGTAATTTTGCAGTGCCATACCCACCAACCAATGGCATTTTGCACCGGACTAGCAGCACCACGGGCACCCTGACTTGGACAGAGGCTCAGGCCCCCGTGGGCTACTACGAGCTGATCATCACACCCGAAGGGGGCCAGCCCAGAGTCACCCAGTACCAAACGGGTACCACAGGGGTCTTGCTGGACAACTTGGTGAATGGGGTCAGGTACAGCTACACGCTGAGAAATGTCATCAATACGGGCAGCGGGGAAATCAAGAGTGATACTGCAGTAATTACACCTGTAGAAGCAGGTTGGTGTTGCAGTTTTTTTGCCGTAACTTACTAAAATATTCATTTGATGTTTTCTTAGGGATGTAGATTGTGATAGTAATTTGTGATAAAAACATTTGTGATTGTTATAATAATGACATTAACCGTTTTTGTTGTTGCTAATACACCGGTATGCCCAATCTGGTGTCCGGTTGAATAAACTAGCAGAGGCTGTGGCATAGTCTCGATTGCTTTCTAATATTGTCCTTTTTTGGTGAGTGAGTATAATGATGATGACATTGACAATGTGCAAATTCTTTAAAAATGTTCAAATGTGTATGCGATTTTTCAACATTTCATTATTCTTCAGTGTTTAATAAGCATAGTTTTTAATTCCATTCGGATGACATTTTATTATTTTTTAATAAATGCTTTGAATAAAACTTTTATGATTAAAATGGATATTCTGTGGATTTGATTTGATTGAAGAACAAATGTAATTCTGAGTGTGCCATCCCTAGAGAACTGTAATGTTGACTGTATAACGATCTCCTTTCGAATGTATTAAAAAAAAAATTCATGACTTACTCTTAAGAACAGGTAAGATTTGAAGTCCTGCCACATTGTTGTTTGTTTATTGGTTGGTTTGTCTCCATCTTCTGACTCCAAGTCCATCTTATGTCCTCTCAACTCCATGCAGCTCCAGCATCACTTGACCCACAGCTGCAGGCCATCACTGACCACGCCATGCACTTGACGTGGACTGCCAGCACCACACAAGGGCTTGAAGGCTACAGAATCAGTGTCTTGGACACCGAGGGCAACGGGCAAGTCATAAATGTACCGGCCAGTGAGACATCATTGGTTCTGACAGGTCTGACAGAAGGTCGGACATACCAGTATGTGGTCGATGAGGTTGTTGGAGGTGTGAACCGATTCGCTGGATTTGCAGTTCGTCCTACGAGTAAGTATCCTTAGCTTAAATGACCGATAGGTATAAATGTACAGGGTTTCTTTGCTCTATCCAGCAGTAGACAAGTGTCTATGGGGAAACACACGAAGTGGCTAGCCATTAACTTGCATCGGTGAATGTGAATATCACTGACTCTGCACAAATGAGATATTAGACACTGTCTGTTGAGTGGTTTAAGTAAGTAAGCTTGTGACTTTTTGTGTAAAAAAACCCTGTTATTAAAAAAATGTACATCTCCCCAACACAAAGCACATCTAATGATACCAGTGTGTTCCTTTGAAATTGGGAAGGTTCTTTTACAGATGAAAAAATGTGAACAATAATTGTTGCTGAAAACAAACAAGTCACCTAACCCCCTCCTGGTCTCAAAATCTAGACATGCCTGGTGGAGTGGTTGCTAGCCACAAGGCTCGCAGTTGGAGATTTCTCCTATCGACATTGTTGTATGAGCATTTTATTTCATGCTCAAAGTGTAAGACTTGCATACAGGGCTCTGCATGAAAAAGTCTGTCAGGGATCCCAGCAAGCTTTTTTCTAACCACCATTTTGCTAAGATACAGGATGTTTATACAGCAACCTATGAGAGCATCACTTGAACAGTTGTACCAGATAATGTCAAGTCCTAACATTTTCAAAATGTTTTTACCATGTTAAATTAGAAAATTACTAGCATTCCGTTGACAACAAAAAGTCAATATTTTTTAGGGAGCTGTTGTTTGAAAAAAACATCACGATGTGTACACAATGTTATTTACAGCTCAGTGTTCTTTACTGGATGTTTTATTCTTTGCTTTAAATATGATCCTGCAATGATTTGGCGAACAACTTAAACATTCACTGTGGGGCCCAGCTTGGTGTATTACACCACATTGAGTGAGAATGCTGTTCATTTCTTTTCAGAATTACCACAAAATGTGGCATTAAATGGGGCCACGGCCCACACAATGACTGTCTCGTGGGACACAACCCTCTTCCCGAATGCTCAAGGGTACCTGGTCAACGTTATCAGCAAGGATGGGTCCTACACCAACCTGATACCCGTCACTACAGCCAGCGCAACGGCGCCATTCACCATAACGGAATTGCCTGCTGGGCTGGAGTATGAAGTCGGGGTGGATGCAATTGTAGGGGGGGAGCGATTTGAAGTGGGTGCCCTGGCAAATGGAGCCAGCACAAGTAGGCAGCAATTCTTTGTTTTTTCTGTGTTTTAGTAGCACAAATAGTGAAATTGGAAACAGAGGTAAAAATAACCGATAACTGTAGTAATCAGAAAGAATTGTACAATATATTAATAGATTCAACAGCGGGACCTGACACCCTATTTGGAAGTTGGGTTTAGAATTGTACAAATTCTTGAAGCACCCTGGCTAATTATTATTAAACAAATAAACTACAACCTCTTTTAGCCAAATTCTTTTTTTTTTTCTTTTTTTTTGTTTGCAGGTACTTCCATTGCCACTCAGGTGGTCACAACAGACCTAATCCAGACAGTCTGGGAGCCTATTGCTGGTGCCACCTATACATTATTGTTAACCAACCTTGGTGATGGCAGCACCCAGGAGGTTACCATTGCCGACTCCCAAACGGCCACCCATGCCTTCAGGGGACTGACCCCCGGCCAACATTACACTATTGCTTTGACAGCCAATGTCAATGGCCAGGCCATTTCCGGTGGCATGGTGACAGAAACGACAAGTGAGTGATAATTTGCCCCCCATGGTTATTCTGCATGAGAGTCCTGCATTAGGCCTTAACCTATTGGCAAGTTCCAAACTTGGTAAATAATGTAAGGGTTTTGGGACCAGACCTAATCATGCTGAACCAAAGCTTAAGGTTGGTTCATACTGCAAGCGAATGCTAAAGCGAAGTAAATTGTACATAACAAAAAATTTAGTGAAATTTTGCTTGAGTTAAAAGGTGTTCACCTTTTGCAAATTGGCAGCATGAATATTTGAGCAGACCTCACAAATCCACATTCATGTTCACTTTTGCATGAAACATGGACGGACCTTTAGGATCATGGCTCCTGTGCTCCAATTTTGACAAAAATTACATCCCCTGGAAAAAATCCTGGCTATGCCTATGCCAGCTTGTTTTGTGATGAGCTCAATCTCAACTCCTTGCAGTTCCGTTGCCACCAACCAACATCCAAGCGGCCTCGACGGCCACAGACACTGTCCTCACCTGGAATCCACCCCCCAACACTCCCACCAACATCCACGAAGGTTACCGGGTCATCTACATCCAGGCCGATGGCCAGTTGGTGAGCCAAGACCTTCCAGTGACCCAGACCACATTCACTGCACCGGTGGTGGACAATGGCCAGAATATCTTTGTGTACTCGACAAGTGGCACTCAAGTAAGCCAGCCGGGCTACCCAGTGATAAACTGTAAGTAGACCTTTGAGGCCGTGCTCAAGCGTGTTGCTCCCATTTACACGAGTTTACTCCTAAGCCCACAAATGCAGAGCTGTTTATAGAGAGAGTAGTGCCAACTTCAGACTTTGGAACCAAAATGGATGTTCAGTATGTGTACAATACAACATACAGGAATTGTGTGCTGTACGTCCATGTGCACTAATGCATAATCCACCATTTTGGTTCCAGCAAATGAGACACTCATGCCACAACTCATGCTCTATAAATAGCTCTGCACAAACGGCATGAATGCAACCCATCTTTGTCCTGTCCTGTTGAATTAATGAATAGATTTGTTGAGACCAACTTTTAAGGGAACTGACAAATGTAGGTTTCAAATACAGCCAAATCTTTTAGACAGAGTAATTTCCTGAATGTTTCAGAGAAAATTATGACTGGAAGGGGACTAAATCCTGAAATATTTATCGTCAACAATACAATTAAAAGGTCAATTATATTGGGCTTGGCAAAGTTTTGGAATGCTAGTCCGCTTTCTTCCCTAGATCTGCCCTTTTGGTGCAAATCAAAATCTGAAATACTTACTGGATAACTGTTTTGTGATTTGCCCTGAAGACAATGTCAACCTCAATGGAGCCACACCTAGTTCACTGCAGGTCAACTATGACCGCTATGAGGGTCAAGGCTACCACATTCTTCTGGTCCGCAATGACGGCTCTGTTCAGGAAGAGTTTGTCGTCACAGACCCAGCGACTCTCTCCTATGTCTTCAACGGTCTGCAGCCCAGCACTGAATACACCACAGTGGTGACGGGCATCGACACGGGCGGAACTAGCACCTTCATGCTGGGCACGGACACAGCTTCAACTTGTGAGTGTTTGATCTGTTTTGCAGTTAAAAAACAGATTGAGAAAAGGGAAAAAATGGGGAGAACTATCGGCGCCGATTGGGAACAGGAGAGTCATTTTTTTTTACAGGGCAATGACTGTTCTTCAGTGGGCACTCTGTGTGCATGGGTTCTTGTGCATTTTGCCGCAGGATGCACCATGTGCGAGCAATCAAGTTTTGTTAAAATGTAGAGCCATTTGTGACAGCCCTGTGCATGCATGAGCCTAGCTGAAAAATGTCCTGCTGGCCTGTCTCCTCTTTGCCGGTTAGGGTGCACTTCAACTAGGTGGAGAATAGGCATGGGAGAGGTGTCCTGTGTGAATGATAATTGGCTTTTGTCAGGAGTAGTTTTTAAGATCACTAAAGTCCCATTGGAATCTTGTCTGCATCAGCTGGGTGAAACCACTGGTAACACACAACCAGTAGCCATTGGCTTTCACAGGAAAAGGTTTTACCTCTTGTCTTAAAAATGACGTGCAGAGACGCAGGAACACAGAAGATGTTTAAACACATTCCGGCAAATTAAATGCAGTATCAGATGTCTGTGGCCCTGTTTGTCTCACATGGATGCAGATTGTGATCAGTGATCCTACTTTGGTGCACTGACACTAGAGGCCACCAAATGGATAGTGTGAACCAGCTTTGGGATCACTTATTGCGATCCAGATTTGTGTGAAATAAATAGGCCCTTTACTCATCCCCATGCTCCAGTGATTCCCTTTGAGTTTGCACACACAGAGGCTCATCCAGGTGTAATATGTGTTGCCCCCAGATGGCTTTAGGCCACAACCAGCTGGTGTAATAATTGCTTCATGACACTGTCTTAGAACAGTGTTATAGTGGAGACCAGCCATAAGACCATGCACAAGATCATGCACAAGTAACAGGTTGAATAGTGACAAAGGAATGCTTTTGTTGCAGTACATTTGAGTAGCTTGTGGCTTGAATTCAGACTGGGGGTCTTGTGTTGGACTTGTGCTGGTCTTGTTTGGTCTTGTGAAGGTCTGAGTGGTCTTATAACTGCAACATTGTCTCAGAGTTTCAAAAAATCAGACATTGTGGTGAGAAATGTTGCACAGATCTTGAAAAAATGACAACTAATTGCAAGGGTCGGCAATTGTATAGTAAACCTTGTGTTTGTAGTAGATTGTCATTGTAAAAAGTCAGTAGAATAAAACCGTAAGGGTAGTGGTTAATATCTAGAAGTACATGTAACCTGGGTTTTGGACAAAGAGAGGGACAGTGGGCAAAGAGAGGGTGAAATGGGCAGAAAAAAATAACAGTGTTTGTTGCGTCTCGTTGGACAGCTCCTGCAGTCTCATTTGATTACCAGTTGATGACCACCCCTGTTACCACCACAACAATGGACGTTGCCTGGCAACACAACCCAGATGCTGGATTTGAAAATTACCAGTTAAAAGTAACCAATGCTGTAGATAGCACTGAACAGGTTAGTTCCTTTCTTGCTAGGAATTGTTGGTAGTCCTCGTGTTTTGCTTTAATGTGAAAATGGTGAACTAGCTAGTGAGTTGTCTTCACGTGTAAATTTTTGTATGCGCATGTGTCTAACTGTCAGTAAATATTGGCCATTCCACTCTGTTACTTCATCTACCTGTACATGTATTTGTGTTAATATTGTATTGTTTCAAATAACAAATTCAATCTAAGATATTCAGCCTCAACTGACACTTTGCACATATGACCACCTTTGCTTTGGAACACTTACAAAAGACAAATACATGTCCAGAAATGTATCATGGAATCCAGTCTTTGAACAAATTTAGGCTTGTTTCTGCAGCCATTTCCTTGTCTGGTTGTATCAGAAGTGCCAAAAATTCAATTCTGAAATATCAAACTACCTCTGATTTTGTTTTTTCTTTCACCCCACCATCCTGGGAACAGACGTTCACTGTGCCAGCAGGGGCCAACCCCTCTCAGGTGGTTCAGGGCCTGACGCCGGGGACCGACTACTCTGTGGAAGTCTCTGGAGTGATTGGCGGAGTAGGATCTGTTGTAGCCAGTGCTCTCCAGTCTACAGGTTGGAATGCCCCCAACAAAAATTAAAAAGAGGAAAAAAGAAAAAGCAACGGAAATGTTTAAAAAGGAGCTAGGAAGTACATGAAAATTACCAATTTGCTAAAAAATACCTCCAAATTTTCATCCTGCCACTGCTAATGGTTTGTCAATTTGGTGTTGATGAGTGTTTTTTTTCCCCCATTCTCTTCCCTTGCCCCAGAAAAATCCTGACCATGCCCATGGACAATTTTGTCTTTATGTGAATATACGGACTTGAAAACCTTAAGGAGAACAGATTATTCAGATTTGAGGCCAGTGTTTTTATTTCCAGGTTTTGAGTGGGGGGGCAAAATGAGGATCTAAAAATGATTGCTCACATTTTGTTTTCACATGTAAAAGAAAGCTCCCAGATTAAAAGGGCTTAATTAGCACAAAGGACGAGTTGGGAGAGGGTGGTGGTAACATACTCCCCTTCTCACATAGCACTGTTTAAGGCTTTGGAGATGTGAATAGATTCTTATATGTCTGACTTTTTTATTGGGAATTACCACCTTTTTCTTGACAGTTTTTGCTGCAAAACAGATGGTGTAAAAACACTCAGTAGTCATACATACCTTCTTGTCATGGGGGAAAGGGGAGCCAGTGGCCCCCACACTTTTTCAACTTGGGGGCCTGCCCCTCATCCCTTTTTTGCAGGTCCTATAAATGGATGGGGCTCAACGGATCAACCTATAATTAATGGCTGATGCCTGATGGTCTAACAACTGGCCCCCCACTTTTAAAGTCTTTCCGCCACCGGTGCACACACCATGAACTGATACATAGTGTACACAAATTCGATGCACAGAATGTCACTTTGCAGTACACAACTGTCCTCTGTGGACTAGTGACTGATGATTATTATCAACACAGTTGAAGGAGAGACGAAAAAGTATCAAGTACATGTATTTGTTGCTTTCAGTGCCCGAACCACCGAGCCTGACTCTCATGGAGCAGCAGCCTGACCAGACTGTCACCCTCACCTGGTTCCCACCAACCAATGGGAAGTGGGACAACTACATCATCCGCTACGGGCCCTACGGCAGCACCAACCTGCAGGAGGTGGTGCTGGGCCCCACTGAGACCACCTACACCCTGCCTGCATTTGACCAGAATCAGCAGCACACTGTCCAGATCTACTCCTCCATCGGGCCAAACCAGGAGCTGGTCAGTGACATGGGAACCATCACACCCTCAGGCGGATTCTCAGTGGTCATCAATCCAGGCAAGTACAGTTTTATGTGACACTTTTGTGAGTCATGTAAATTTCTTATCACAGTACAGTCGGTCCATCTAAAGTGTGCTTACTCCCGTAGCTTGCAGGTGAACTGTGCTGAAATTATGTCTATGAAATACAAGTAAAAGTATTTTTATATAGCAACATGGAAGACTACAAATATCAGCCAGGAACTAAGAAGTAGTTTGTCTAAACTAAACCTAATTTACAGACATGGGAAAGTTTGGCTGAGCAAAGGTAGAAGGTCACTGGCTAAATGTCATGGGCACTGCGTTTCTTGGGACTGATTCTCAGCAACATCTGCTACCAACCAGCTCTGTGTGATCACGGACCCGTTTGTAATCCTGTCTGATTTCTGCACTTTCCAAAATCATGATTTTGGTTTCACTCTTAATTTGCTGTTCTGTTGTTCCACAGTATGCGAGCCAACCACTTGTCAGAATGGTGGTACCTGCACAATAGATCCAGCTGTTGGTTTTGTCTGTACGTGCACTGCCTTGTATACAGGAAGGAACTGTGAAACCTTGCTAGGTAAGAGTTGATATCCTTCTCTCTCTCTTCTTCTCTGCACCTACTCTGTACAGTTATGTTTGTTGAGTGCAATCGGTCAATCTGTATGATTGTTGCATCATTGCTCATTCTGTGGGTCTTATTGCTCAATTTGCCAATAATGCCGATCTACCGTTTGCACCCAAAATATTAACTACAAGTTGTGACACCATCCATAAGCTGAAGAGGGTGCTCTATACTTTTGCAATAAACTTTTCCAGTATGGCCATTTGAGAACAAAGCACCTGACATCACACCTGTTCGGACACATTCAGAGTGGGCCTATATACAGCCATGCTGATAGTACCTCGTGTACATATGCTCATATTCTCGAATGATCTGTGACACACTTCATTTTGTAATTATGAACTTGTGATGAACTTGACTAAATGATAATGGCATGTTGAATTTTTATCCCTTGACTTCTGTATCTTGCATTTTATTTGCAGTTTTCCATTGTATACAATTTCATTTAGAAATGCTGGTTGAACTTGCATTTAGCATGCCAATCACAACAGTCAAGATGTATAGGTAAACTCCTTCAGAGACAGTTTCAGCTGCCACTCGGCATACCCACCTCTGTAAATGCATAAATCTCTTCAATGAATAAACAAAATTGATATTCAAAAGTATTTTATCTGATCAGTGGATGTTGTAGGGCCCTGCGTCAGCACCCCTTGTCTGAACAATGCTGCCTGCGTGGAGTTACAGAATGGAACGTACCGGTGCGACTGCCCGGTAGGCTACACGGGCACCAACTGTGAAACAGGTTTCACTTTGATTTTCTCTTGTCCAATTTTCTTCCTTTCTGTTGTAGGATTGCTGTTTGTTGTAGGTAGAGACGTCAATTACCTTACCAGGCTGTCAAGAAGGAGCAAGTCATTGCTTACCATTTGTGGCTTTGCACTGATTATATCCATGCTAATGTTTGAATTTGAATCTGAATTAAATCATTGATACATTTATACTGAATTTTACAAGTCAAGTCTATCGCAAGTCATAGGTAATTCTTTGCAGCTGTTCATCCCTCATTTGTCGACACAAACCTCTGCCATTACTTATAAGAAATTGGCTAATATCATCACTGCCCATGGTCATAATACAAGGTCATTAAGTATGTCATCCTTTTATATTAAACAGTGACATTAAGGAAAAAGATGATGATTTAAACTATAGCTTTTTTGTGTAGAGATTTGTACAGATAAGTTTAATGCACTGACGATTCTTATGTACAAACTGATGTGTTCCATAGACATCAATGAGTGTGCAAGTAGCCCCTGTCTGAATGGCGGGGTGTGCGTCGATCAGGTCGCCAACTACCAGTGCCTGTGCGCTGATGGTTGGCTGGGTAGGAACTGTGAGACGGCCATTGGTGGGTTGAAACGATTCCCTGTTCTGTCGACCTTTGCTCTGTAGTACGAGAATGCATGATGGTTGCACCTTGCACTCAGGCTGAAAAAAAAAGCACTTGAATGTTGTGCTCAATCTTAAATGTTGCTTAACCACTTCACGCCAGAGGATGTGTAAACAGAAACTAGCTGTCTGTATACACACAGGCATGGCTGACAGGTGAAACTGGCACTTGCATCCATAAAACAGACTCACCTCAGAGTGATGTTTATACCGTTGGTTTCTGTACACACCCATAAAGTCTGCAGAATCTGTGATGGTGGACCATGGGGTGAACTTGACTTTAGCCTATGGTGGTAACAAATATTGATATGTGGGTGCGGCTTGAAGTGTTGAAAAATATGAGGCTGCAATAAGAACTATCACACAGATATTGTTATAACTCAAATGAGACAAGTTTATGGCATTTGGCTGTATGTCAAAGGACAGCCTTTCTATGTTACCACTTTCAAAAATTGACTTTGTTTGCCAAGATAATACTATCAGCAAGTGGTTATGTAGTTTTGATTAACAGAAATTAAATCGAGCTCATGATATTTAATTGTACTGAACTTTGCACTTATGGGTAGAAACATTAGAAAGAGTTGACCTACCCCTCCTCTCCCTGACTCTAACAAATTTGACTGGGCAAACCTTCTGATATCCCCTGCTACATCTCATTCACCGTATCCACCCTCTATGCCATACCTCACCATGCCTCACACACTTTAAAAAATTACTTGTCATCTCCAGAGTTAAAATTTGTAAGGGTCCACAGTAACCTCTGAAGCAAGTCAATTTCCAGCAATATTTCTGTCAAAGTAAAAGTTGTTTTTTTGCACAACTCTACTCTGTGGTGTGAGTTTGTCTGAGCAGTTGTTTCAAGAGTTTAGCAAGTAGGAGCAAAACAGTTTTTGATTTGATAAACTTGTCACATAAGGCTTCATTTACTTGGGAGAAAGCAGCAAAATTTGAAGTATCTTTAAATTAACCAGACTATGTCATGCTCTCTATAATTCAGAGAAGTACCAATAGACTGTTGCATGCCCTGTTTCAGCCTGTAGCATCATATTAGTTGTCTATACTACACAGAATCTATTCACCCTAGTTAATTAGAAACTTAAAGCCTTCAGTAGATTACATTAGGTTGGTGTTTATTTTATATTTTGTCAACAAGAAAATTATGCAATAACACCTTATGTTTTACAGTAAATAATGTACACAGTCCTAAAGATAGATCTGTTTCCACTTTCCTGACTTTGTTTGGTTTTCAGTCTCTGATACTGACTGCCTCTTGATTGAAATACCTCAATTAAATTCTCTCGTGTTCTTTGTTTTTGCTGATATGATGCTTCTTTGCCTCGGCATTCAGACCCATGTATGAGTCAGCCATGCTTGAATGGCGCCCTGTGCTTCCCGGTGACCACAGATAATCGGTACACCTGCTTGTGTGCAGACGGTTTCACCGGAGTCCATTGCGAGACATGTCAGTGAGCAGTCTCCTCCATTCCATTCCTTTCAAATTAATATTCCAAATCAGATAGGATTGCCAAATATGCCATTTGTTCTTGCACTGGGCTTGGTATTTGTAGATGCACCTTTGTAGATGTAGATTGCGGTGACATCCAGATTGTAGGTGTGGAAAAGGGGAGGGAGGGTAGATTGGGTGCCACAAGCATGCACTGGAAAGATGCAATTGCCCCTATTTGCAGAAACAGTCAAACAACAAAAAAACATAACTTGGAAAGTCAAATATCTTATGCCAATCTGAGAGAGTAAATCACCAACTTGTACACAAAGGGGACTTATTCTGGCATTGTATACAATGAATGTTTCACATTTAGCTATAGAAGGAATAAATTCATTTGAGGACAGACTGAATGTTCCATTGCACTCAGTTTAGCCTGGTGGAATGGAACATTATCTGTCACCTCATGAAATTATTCTTACCATTGCTCTCTAAAATACCTATTGCACATACTAATACCTAGGCAGTTCATGTGTAAAGTGTCTGTTTTATTCACTGTCATTAAAACGTAGTGCTAATGATAAGATAAACTGTGTTCCTATAAATGAGACTGCATGTCGTTACCAAGCTTAACTCCTGAGAGGCAGAATTGTTTGGGCATTTGCCATGTTTTGCTGTAGTTGTTTTAACATTGGCGAAATGCTTGTCTTGTTTGTGTAACATCATTGATTGATTTTTATTGAAGCACAGACGCTGACAATGATTAATGCTGCCAAATTATTACAAGACATAAATTTTGCCTGCCCCAAAGTGTGGCCATTGTTCAGAACATCTGTTACAAATGGTACAAGTTGGCACCCCGCCCCACAATAACAACAAAGGCAGATCAATAATTGAGAGCGGTATAATTAAGTACCTCTGTTCAAGGTTACATTACTTTGGCACCTGTTGCTCTTGGACAGTGGTCTTGTACAGTTTCAAGGGAAAATATCGGAGTTGATAAATTATAATGATACATGGTCTTTGTACAGCACATTATATAAAGGTCTCCTTTAGGTTCTGGGGATTTCAATAGAAATATTTCTATTTGCTTTTGGTTTGGTCGTTAAAGATATGTGGGCACCCAGTTGGTTGGTCTGTCAGACTTCTCTGATGAGCTGCCTGACAAATATATTCTCCCTTAAGAATTAAGTTTCCAGTAGGAAAAAGCTCTTTTCCTACTGTTATTTTTTACAAATATTACACAGTTTATTAACAAATATAAAAGTGCCACTTGAATTTTTGTAACATTCATGCACTTGATGTTTCACTGACAGCTACCAATGATTGTGATCCAGACCCTTGCCTGAATGGGGGTGTATGCCTTGATGGTGACAACTCCTTCATGTGTCAGTGTCCGGAAGGGTTTATGGGTGTAAGATGTGAAGAGAGTAGGTGGACTTTGTGGATTAAGCTTAACCTGCATGCAAACTGTTCTCTCTCAATTCAAGTTCGCACGAGGACCATGATTGTGGTTCCTACTCCCTTGGTATTTTACCTGTTTAATTTTGAGGAGGAAACTTCCTTATCCAAAACCTTTATATTCTTTCTCTCCGACTTGGACTTTGGATAAGATGATTGAAGTTGAATTTGTTCAACCAAAGAAATCAAGATTCCACTTAAACATTTTCCCAAACTCTGTTCTAACATTAGAGTAATTGTTCACCCTGAAGCACTCTGAAGGTTCCTGGGTTTAAACTTCACTCTTTAAAAGTAACGAAGCATGTGCTCCTACCACTAAGGGATAATTCATAGGATTATATGTCACTTCTGCACCAATACTGTTTCTTTGTGCTATTGTTCTCCACTTATATGCACTGTGAAAATACTTTTGGTCCCACTGAATTTCTTCAAATCTCTCCTTGAATGCATACTTCTTCATTTTCAACATTTCTCTGTGCACTCCACCCTCATTAGATCCAAACATTGGCTTGAAATCTAACACCAAATATTTCAAAGCATGAACAACATAATGAATTGCCGCACCAACACTTAGCTCAGAAATAGTTAAAGTAGAACTTCCAAATAGGTAAACAATAAATCAGTGCACTGTATGATTATCTTAGAGATTAGTAACAAAAGGTTAGCAGTGGAACTTGTATTGTGGAAATATTGAATGTTTATTACTACAGTTGTGGAAATAATTTCATTAGGAAAAAAAATTCCATTAGGCGATAGACAGGATGTTCCTTCATGAAGCATGCTGAACGGAATGGAACAAATTATTTCCATTGCATGAATTCCATTGTATGAATGTCAGTGAAGCAAGGTATACTAGTAGGAAGTACTTAGAGATAGTACCTGAAGTTAGCACCAAAATTGACTGCAGGATCTTTGCACTGAGAAGTAGAGATAAAACTTGTAGCTAGCTGGCACTCAAGAATAGCACCAGAAATGTAGAACAGGTTCCACACGCACGGGAATTGCAGGTCAGACTTGAAACATTGAAATGACAATAGAGATTGTTGATTTCCTAGTTGTCGATACATGCGCTAGTCAGCCATGCCAAAATGGCGGCACATGCACCGATGTCCTGGGTATTTTCTTCATGTGTCAGTGTGTGGATGGCTACATTGGCGACACATGCGAGATCAGTAAGTGTGAATGATTAACTTGACATGTACACAGTATATCAGATTCTTAAATTAGTATACAATACAATGTTACGTTATTTGAAGTGTACAATGCCACAGAAGAATGAGGACCAATGGCTTTTAGACTTGTAACTGCTGCTCCAAAGATGTTCTGTATGACGTACTAAAGGCATTGGCTTTCTTCACAAACTTCAGTTACATTTGATGTAAAATCACAAAATCTTCTGCAACCTGCCAGCTGACTGTGGTTACCTAAAATACAAATCAAAAAAGTGACAGGGTCACCTTTCAATTCCAGCTACATTCTTCTGACAGGCAAAGAAAATTTTGCTTAGATTGAAACATTAGACCCTCAGACTTTATCAATTCAGTCGCATTTACTGAGCTTTCTACAGAAGATTCAAATGGGATTGGAACCTCTGCCAACCCATCTCTCAAACCCAGGCTATCTCAGTGGCTTCCCAATTTGTCAGTTCAAGTCAGAAGTGTTAAGACCCAAGACCCATTTTTGGCCAAGATCACATCCAGAGTAATGCCGATAGTAACATTGAATGCTGCTTACTTCCTTATACATTTATGCAGCAGACCACCTTTGAAAGGACCGTGATTACGTAGAAGGAATACAGCTTTTGTTTTGTGACATATTTGTTTTCAGCTTGTTTTTTTTTTTGTTCACACAGTGCATATAATGTTATCAATAATTTGCTTTGTATGCACATTCATTGTATGATTACGATGAATAATAAAATTGGACCCGAGTTTGTTCAGGAAATCTACCCATGTGAGGATCGACAGTTGTGTTCATCACACTTATTTCCCCAGACTCCGACCTGAGTTGCACGAGACCCATGATGAATGATATTTTCATTGAATATTTCCCTAACCTACCATTTTTGTCAAACTGATGGAAAATTATCTGTTGTTAACATTTGATTTGTTTATTCATTTTTACTAGTTCCCAAGGACCCAGTGGATTAATACTACCATTTTCTTCCTCTCAGACAGGAAGCAGTACTGTTGAGAGTGGGCATAACTTGCCTCTTGCAACACTTTTGCTTGACTCATCTGCAAAACTGTAACTCTCTTTTCTAGATGATGGAGACACTGGAAAATGCAAATCAGAAGTCACTCTTTGTTCCATGCAATGTGTAGCCTAATGGCTGGAGTTTGTTTTATTTTTCCGACCACAGGGTTCAGGGAGTTCGAATCCACTATCTAGATGTATGTTGTGACCATGGGCATTAGCCCTGTTTTCTTCTCTCCACCAAGGAATATAAATGGGTACCTGTGAGGACAGAGATGGTGCTTAAAATGACAGCACCGAGTTGTATACCACCTGGGGAGCTAAACAGGTTTTAGGAATATTGATGGACCCAATCGATGACCGGGGATATTAAGAGGCACTTTGATCAAGTGTTTAGGATTTGTGGTCTTTTTAAACTCATTAATACTTATTTATACATAAATACCTGTGGTAGTTTACCCATTCCTATTGGTTGATGGGTGGTTTTTAACATGTGATAAAGGTGTCAACTGGTTTCAACATTTTTCCAGTTTTATGTGAATTTTGTCAAGAGCTTGTCAAGCAGTCAGTCTTAAACTGTTGATAAAGCACCGGCAAGTTTTTTGCCACCTTATGTAGTGCACATTGCACATGCACCAACTGGAGGGGTGTGTCAGAAATGGAGTAAATTGTTAGAGAAAATTGTTGCAGATCTGTGCTCTAAAGGTATTTATGTATGGGAATAAATATGTGCTTTTCTGGCAGGCAAGCTCAGGACGCATTGACTCCGCTAATGTCCCTTGCCTTCAGCCCGGGCTTTACCAGGGCCCACTCTCCTGAATCAGTCCAGCCAAAGACATATCTATTCCCTTAACAATTGATGTTCCCATTTGTATTTGTCATGAATTTAGCATTGTAAGCAGCCACAAATTGGCTCTTTTGTGGGTTTTAGCATAATTTCATCTTTACTTTGCTTTTCAATTGTCAATTATCTTTATATAGATGGTAATGACTGTTTACCGAATCCTTGCGTGAATGGTCAGTGTGTGGATAGAGTCAACGCCTATGAGTGTGACTGCACTGGAACCGACTTTCAGGGAACAAATTGTGAAACTCGTAAGCTGAAATCAATTCGTGTAATTGAAACTCTTATGTTTAAAGTGTAAAGGCAGTGTGGAAGGAAAGGTAACTTGAGTGCTTGTGTGGATGATGTTCAAACTTTCACAGGCAACAGACTTTAATGACCTTACTGTAGCAAGAAAATTACCAAACGGATTCCCAACAAATGTTACACTTTCTGCGCAGCTGAATATTGTAATGAGAATTTAAAAGTCCCTCAATTTCCCAAATTGTAATGCAAGCCAAACTGTTGCTAAGTTTACCCTCCTCAGAAACTATGTTCTTGTGCTGAACAAAACTCTTGTGTATCAAGAGTCCGTCAAGTCAAGCCACACCTAATGTCTCTCTTTGTTGTTTCATCACCAGGAATCAATGATTGCCCTGCAACCAACCCATGTCTGAATGGCGGTACGTGTGTGGATGGAACCAACCCAGGAGAATTTATTTGCCAGTGTGCGGTTGGTTTCGCTGGAACGCTTTGTGACAACAGTGAGTAACCCCAGTCTGTTGAAGCTGGTAGCATGCAAATTGCACTGTGGTGGTCAGGACGCTCTCCCTGACCCACATAACTGGACGTACATCTGTTGTTGTAAGCAAAGACAGTAGTGTTGCGTGCAGTATTTAGATGGTATGTTGGTAAGCATTCAAAGCTTTGATAAATGGCTCCCATATTCTCCTGGTTTGTGCTACAATAAGTGTTGCACTAGCCTCTTGTTTTGTTACAGAATTCTGAAATGAGATATTGACGAGCTTGGGCCAAGTTCATTCCATGACCGTTATTTTATTGCTAGTGAACTTTGTCTGGTACCGGTGATCAACAAATGCTTACTTTGAATCAAATTTGGCTCTGGTGATTACATGTTTTGGCAATTTTTTTCAGATCCAGATGACTGTGCTGCCAATCCATGTTTGAATGGCGGCCGATGTATAGATGGAGTCAACACGTTTACATGCGACTGCTCATTAGTGGACTTCCAGGGAACCATCTGTGAAACACGTTAGTGGAAGTTTTGTTGCGGTTCTTGCATGAGTTGTTTGCTTTGCACAGACATATGAAGTTCAGCCATTTCTCTTGCTGGGGGTCTGTTTTGTAGATGAAGTCTGACATCTTTGTCTTAAGTTTAGCTAGTATTTCATGCAGCTCTGAATGACTCTAATGGCAGTGGAACGATTTGCATAGATGCAGACTAATAGGAGACCATCAGGCATCAGCCATTAATAGGCCAATTCATTAAGCCCTGCAAAAACCTGCAAAAACTGGGGGGGGGGCATATACCCCCAGTCAAGTTAAGGGGGGGCCACTGGCCTCGTCACTCCTGCTTCTGCTGCCAGCGAATCACTCCATGGCCACATCAACCAAACCGATAAAGGGTGTGAAGGAATTTAGAAAGGTTCAGTCTTTAATTGTGATGCTTGGCACCACTAATGAGGTGAATGCCAATTAGTCTGTAGCAAACTTGATGCCACCGGTTGTCTTTGTCGTTATAGGCATTGATGACTGCGTTCCCAACCCCTGTGTTAATGGTCAATGTGTGGACCTTGTTCGCCAGTTCTCATGCAACTGTGCTGGGACAGACTTCACAGGGACCTTGTGTGAAAATCGTGAGTTGTCTTGATGGTCCACAAATTGTCTGGGAAGAGTCTTTTGATTCTGATTGGTCAAAATGTAATATGATCTGGTTTTTGATTTTTTGAATAGCTTTAACAGACTTGTCTGTATGAACCCAGAAAAGGGGGCAGTTTAAAACAGAAGATTTTCTTGCTGCGAGTGTTTGGTTATGTTAATAAAAAGTAGTAAGAAAGTGAAATAAGCTAGAAACTTGAAATGGCAGTTTGAAAAAGTGCCAAGTAGCACACAGACTCCAAGTTGTTTGCAGAAATGTCATCCCCATATTGTTTCCCCTCCACTAAAAATGTTGTCATCCCAAAGTTGTCGTATTCAAGACAGAGGCTTTTTGGTAGATGAGCAACCAGAGCATTTCAACAGTCCTCTGGGTTGAATGATTCTTAATTCCTGTTGTTCTCATTACATCAGGGATCAACGACTGCCCTGCCACCAACCCATGTCTGAACGGTGGTACATGTGTGGATGGAACCAACCCTGGAGAATTTATTTGCCAGTGTGCGGTTGGATTTGCTGGAACACTTTGTGATAACAGTGAGTAGTACACCTCAAGTCTGCTGTAGCTGGCGGCATGTAGTACATTTCAGCTCAATGAATCTGACACTCACTGACTCACATAACCTGACGTACATCTGCTATTGTTGTAGGTAAAGACTTTAAAGTTGCACAAATTGTAATAGTGGCAAGCCTTCAAAGCTCTGATAAATGGCAACTATTGTGAGGAGAACACGGAGGTAGCACCCAGTGCTGGTTCGCCATGAGAACAGCCGAACATGGCTTTCTAAGGTAGTGACCATCATGCCATGTGGTGAAGAATTCAGAATTACTTATGAGAAAGTAAATCTGATCACTGTCTACCATCAGTGGCACATAGCATATTCCAAGAATGACTTTGATCTCGCCCCATATTTTGTATTTTTCCCTTTTTGCCCATTTTGTGCCACTTTTCAAAGTGCTGTTTCCTAAAGTCATCACACTGCCTATTGTCTCATTATTTCAGTTTTGAAGAGTGCCACCATTGGAAAGGTGTTGAGCTTCTCCCCCACAGTGCGGGCAGGGTTGCCTAATTTGTGTCTTTCTGAATTTCCATTTGGGTCATTCTGTACATTTGGGCTCCATTTTTTTCCCGTCCCTGTTACGTCTGGCTTATGATTTTTAATGGTTAGAACTCACTGTTTAATTCCAAGTTTGAATAAGTACTGCAAATTACCTGCCAGACAAATAAAAATAGTTTGAAATCGATTTCAATGATACATCCTTTTTCAAACTGTTCAGATCGTAGATATGTCAGATGTAACAGGGACAGAAAAATGTCACACTTTGGACCCTAAATTTATAGAATGAGCCATTTTTTAGGAGGGGGGAGACAATTTCAGTAGATCATTTATGTGTGCAGTTGAGTTTGGCGAAGAGTTCTGAAATAATTCAATCAAACCATGGTCCATCACTGGCCACTTATTAACTACATTTCAATTTAGCCTAGTACCTAGGATGTATCTTGTGTACAGCTTACCAGGCAAATTGACTGTAACTGATTAAAGATTGCTCGTGAACATTCGGCTACCTTTATTTTTGTTTTAGATCCAGATGACTGTGCTGGCAATCCATGTTTGAATGGCGGCCGATGTATAGATGGAGTCAATGCGTTTACATGTGACTGCTCATTAGTGGACTACCAGGGAACCACCTGTGAGACACGTAAGTGGACATTTTCGCGTGGTTCTCATGTTTAATCATTTTATCATAAAAACATTGATTGAAGTTCAGCCATTTCTATTTGCCTTGGGTCTGTAACGTAGAGGAAGTCATAATGGGTCATGTGTCTGAGTGGTGTGGGTTTGTACCTTCCAATCATCGGGTCAGGGTTCGAATCCAGCTAGTGGCAGCATGTTGTGATCTTAGGCAAGTCACTCCACCCCTACGTGCCTCTCTCCATCCACAAGGAAATGGGTACCTATCATGTTCAGCTATTTGTGCCTGATATAGCAGTAGTAGGCTCCCCAGGGAGCTGAGATGAATGGAATATTCAGCTATTGTGAGTCCAATGTGCAGGGAAAATGATAATATATCGGCACCTCTGAATGACAGATACTGTCAGATATTGTGTGCTTTGATATTACAAAGACTAGCCAGGATTTCATGCAGTTCTTATAATCACCTGTGGCTTGCTTTCAACCACAAAGAGTATGAAGGAATTGATGGGTAAGGTTCAGTTTTTATTGGCGATGCTTGGCCCCAATATTCAAGTAAAATGTTTATTTCTAAAATGTGATAAATACCAATTAGTCTGTTGGAAACTTTAACTACTCCGTTCTCTGGATTGCAACATTTTTCTTCCCTTTTAGGCATAGATGACTGCGTTCCCAACCCTTGTACCAATGGTCAGTGTGTGGATCTTGTTCGCCAATTCTCATGTGACTGTACCGGGACAGACTTTTCGGGAACTTTATGTGAAAATAGTGAGTTGTCAAACAAAAAATTTTTAATTCAGATTGGTTTAATTTAATTTGATCTGGTTTTGTTGTTTTCGAAACATGTCTGTATGAATCTGTTATGTCATATCACAAAATGCAGTTTGCAAATCAACAAACCTGTTTTCCAAACAGGTTTGTAATATCCAAAAAGTTCCAGAAATCTGGTCAAAAGAAAAATAAGACTGAAAATGTCATCCATCAAGTTGCCATGAAAAGGGCCAATCATGATCTTGGTGGATGCAGTGGTGCACCCAGGTTTTGTCATTGGAGAGGGGGAACTGGGACCAGAATTTACGCCCAAAATAGCTCATGATGTTAATCAAGCTAATCCCCCGATGGTCGCACCATAGGGGACTGGGATTTATAGATATATCAAAGCTCATCGGCTAGTAGTTTAAGATGGAGGTGTGTATTGTATCTCTGGACAAAACAGAGCATTTCAATAGTACATCCTCTGGGTCAAATGATTCTGAATTCCTGTTGTTGTCACTGCATCAGGGATCAACGACTGCCCTGCCACCAACCCATGTCTGAACGGTGGTACATGTGCCGATGGAACCAACCCTGGAGAATTTATTTGCCAGTGTGCGGTTGGATTCACTGGAACGCTTTGTGATAACAGTGAGTACCCCAAGTCTACTGAAGCCGGCAGCCTCTAACTTACATTGCAGTAGTCAGGACATTCTCACTGACCTACATAAACTGGACCTACATCTGTTTCTGTTGTTGGCAAAGACTGAGGAGGTTTTGCACATTATTTAGACAGTAGGCAAGCCTTCAAAGCTTCCATGAATGGAAAAAAAATGGATGCGACTATGATGCTTGAGCCGTATGCTCAACACTGCATCTGAAGGCAAGGGCATTATCAGCATTCAGTCTCCTGAGCCAGCCTTACACTAACGTGTAAGACTGGCCAATTGCACATATTTATTTCCATTTATAAATACTTTTTAAGTCAGAGAGTCAAAAGAAGTCGATATATGATTGATTTCCAGCAATTTTGTTCTAGAATTTTTTTTTCAGTCTCCTGAACACCTCTGTCCTTCTTATGGAATATTCCTTGTACAGATTGGCCAATTGGTGCACACGTGACGAGCCGTGTGCATATAAACTCTTGACCAATCAGAATTGATTAACCTGTCTTGTATCCAGATGCCAGGGGGTGATTTACGCAGTGGGCATTATTGTGCATCTTCTCAGTGTGCATTATCAAAATGTCAATACATGGTCAAGTTGCATGTTGTTGAATAGGGAGACTGTCTGAGGTATTTATGAATAGCTTTGAATACCAGCTCAACTGGTGATTGGTTGATCTTGGCTAAGGCCTTGTCCGAAATGGGCTTCCAGAGCTACGGCAAGGTCTATTGTCTATGCGTCTCCATGCATTTCCAATGGAGCAAAGGCCTAGACCTAGCTCTAGACAACAGGTTCAGATGCAGCCTTAGTTGACTGTTGACTGGAAGTTTTAACTGCCCTTACTTTTGTTTTAGATCCAGATAACTGTGCTGGCAATCCATGTTTGAATGGTGGCCGATGTATAGATGGAGTGAACACATTTACGTGTGACTGCTCATTAGTGGACTACCAGGGAACCACCTGTGAGACACGTAAGTAGACATTTTGTCGTGGTCGTCTTGCTCATTGGTTGCTTTAAAAGACATTATGTAAAGTTTGGCCATTTCTATTTGCCTGGGTCTGTGTCGTTTGTGCATTGCATCTTTGTCTTAGGACTAGCCAGGGTTTTATGTACTTCTAAATCACTTATGGACAACTGTCACCCACACTGATAAAAGGTGTGAAGGGATTAGGAAGGAATCAGTCTTCAATATGCTTGGGCCCCCTGTTCCAAGGAAGAGCTTGTTTTAAACAGGCCACAATCATCAACTAGAAGGTGGCAAACTCTAACTCCTCCATCCCTTGGATTGCAGCATTTGTTGTTTTTTTTTTGTTTAGGCATAGACGACTGCGTTCCCAACCCTTGTACCAATGGTCAGTGTGTGGACCTTGTTCGCCAGTTCTCATGCAACTGTGCTGGAACAGACTTCACGGGAACCTTGTGTGAAAATCGTGAGTTGTCTTGATTGTTCATGAGTATTGTCTTTCAAGAATCTTTGATTCTTCTACAGACTGGTATAAAATGCTGTAATATGTGTCAATGAAATGATCTGGCTTCCAATTTACATGGGGGCAGTTTACAAAGGGAGATTTTCATAGTTATTGATTGAAATAATCTATCAAAATCAACACACAAATTTTAAAAAGTGCCATTGTAGCACGCTATAGCCAAAAGGTTGCTTGAAATCTGATCCTGAAAAGTGTTCACCCTCAAATAAAAATGTTGTCATCGCCCAAATTGCCATAGACAAGCCAAATGCATATTGGTAGATGAAACAAAGCATTTCAACCTCTGGATTGAATTCTGAATTCCTATTGTTGTCATTGCATCAGGGATCAATGACTGCCCGGCAACCAACCCATGTCTGAACGGCGGTACATGTGTGGATGGAACCAACCCTGGAGAATTTATTTGCCAGTGTGCGGTTGGATTCGCTGGAACGCTTTGTGACAACAGTGAGTACCCCAAGTCTGTCCAAGTAACTGGACATACTTTTGCTGTTGTTGTAGGCATTGAATGTGATGTTACATGCTGTAGTAGGCAGGCCTTCAGCTTCGATAAATAGAAAAAAAGTATGAGAATATATGGAGCTAGTGCCCATGGCTATATGGGCATGATAACTTGCCTGGTATGATAATGACCATCAAACGCAGCTTAGGTAGTGACCATCATGTCAGGTGGTGACAAAGTCATGGTTAAGTGGAAATAGTCCTCACTGTCTGCTTTGAAGTCACAGTCATTGCCAAGAGTTTGCCAGGGGAGTGTTGCATTTTTTCCCAGAGTTGAATTTTGGGGGGGGCGGTGGAGGGAACGCACTCATCAACAATGTACAGATAAACCATGAACAGTGGAAAGGGGTCAATTTTGATTTTTTTTTGGCAAGCAGATTGGTGATTTTGTCCCCTTTCAGCATTTTAAAATTTCTTTGTGTTTTTCCCCTCGTTTTTGTATTTTGATTATTTTCCAGGGGGCAAACGCCCCCTTACTGCCTTGCAACTCCCATGCTTTGAGTGGCCTAGCATTCTGTAGGTAGGGGGGATATCAACCTCCCCCGGAAATTTGTAATAAGTGCCTTTTTGCCCATAGGTTCTCTTTTTGCCCATGATGCCCTTTTTGCCCATAGGTTCTTTTTTTGCCCATGATGCCCTTTTTGTCCATAGGTTGTCTTTTTGCCCATGATGCCCTTTTTGCCCATAGGTTCTCTTTTTGCCCATGATGCCCTTTTTGTTCATAGGTTCCCTTTTTGCCCATAGATGCCCCATTTCTGAGTGTGTTCTGTGTTACACAAGTCACACAGAACCTCGGAAATTGCCCAGCCACATCAAGACCCCTGCCTGTTGTCCAATTCTGTCAGATTTGAAGAGTGCCACAATTGAAATTGGTGTTGAGTGCCATTCTCCCTTCCTCCTACCGTGGGCAAAATTTGGGTTGTTTTGTTTTTCCAAGTTTCCAGTGTGGTTTGACAATGTTCAACAACCCTGACCGAAGAGGTATTGTATTCAAATGTACCATTTTGTCAAAAAATTCGGAAATGATCCGGGAACCTAGGACCAAGTTTCATCAACAACCATTAATTAACCACTTGTCAATTTGCCTGGTACCAACTTGCCTTGTATTTTATGCATAGCTTTCCAGGCAAATCAACCAGTAATTGATAAATGATTGTTGATTAATTTAGGCATTGGTGACTGCTAACTTGAAGTTTTGGCAAGCTTTATATATATTTTTGTCCAGATCCAGATGACTGTGTTGGCACTCCGTGTTTGAATGGTGGCCGGTGTATAGATGGGGTCAACGCGTTTACGTGCGACTGCTCATTGGTGGACTACCAGGGAACAACCTGTGAAACACGTTAGTGGACGTTTTTGTTATGGTTCTCATGTTAGTTGATTAATCATAAAGACATTGTGTGAAGTTCAGCCATTCATATTTGCCTGTGAGTCTGTCTTGTTGATGAAGTCTGACATCTTTTTTGTTTAGACAAGCTAGGATTTTATGCAGTCCTACATCACCTGTGGCCACCTGTCCTCCAAATAAGTAAAGAGTGTGAAGGAATGAGGAAAACTTTAGTCTTAAACATTGATACTTCTTGCCCCTCTTTAGTTTCCAAAATGCCGTGAATGCCAAGAAGTCTGTGGAAAACTGCGATCGCACTTTGTTTTGAATTCCAATATTTCCTTTCTCTTCAGGCATAGATGACTGCGTTCCTAATCCCTGCATTAACGGTCAGTGTGTGGACCTAGTTCGCAATTTCATGTGCAACTGTGCTGGGACAGACTTCACTGGGACCTTGTGTGAAAACCGTGAGTTGTCTTGATTTTCTACAACAATCTGTAAAGAACCTTTGATTCTGATTGGTCAAAATGTGTCATGATGTGATCTGGTTTTGGTTACATTTGAATAACTGTTACAGTCTTTTCTGTATGAACTAACAATGTAGAGTGGCAATGGAATGATAAATCATTCCAGCTCATTGGGGACAGTTTACAAAGGGAGTTTTTCTTGTTGGTACCTGTTTATTTAAATTAAACAAATAGCTAATATATTGACAAAGTCTGGCAGGACAGCACCCCAGTTTAAAAAGCCAAACATTGCTGGAAATTTGATCACCCAAAAAAAGTTGTCAGCCCCCAAGTTGCTATATGTAAGCCAAATGCATGTTAGGGAATGTTTCATAATTGCAGAAGGCGGTATTTACTGCGGTACTGCTGTATTTTTGCGGTACCAGCATTGAGCCCTTTCGGGTAACTAGTGCAGTGCCGCTAAAAAAAACAGCGGTACCGCAGTAAATACCGCCTTCAACAATTATGAAACGCTCCCTTATTCAAGCATAGACATACCAAAATGTTACCACAGTCCCATGGCTTGAATGATTCTGAATTCCTGTTGTTGTCACTGTAACAGGGATCAATGACTGCCCTGCCACCAACCCATGCCTGAACGGTGGTACATGTGTGGATGGAACCAACCCAGGAGAATTTATTTGCCAGTGTGCAGTAGGATTCACTGGAACGCTTTGTGACAACAGTGAGTACCCCAAGTCCGCTGAAGCTGGCAGCATGAATCTTATATTGCAAGGAATAAGTCACTCACTGACCCACATAATCTGATATTTATATCTGTTATTGTTGTGTGCAAAGAACATGGAGTTGGGCACTGCAGTGGGAAAACCTTCACAGCTTTGATAAATGGCAAAAAGTATGAGAAAAATAACATGGTACCAATACCCAGCGCTGGATCAATATGACTTAAATGACAACTGTGCATGGCTGAGGTAGTGACCAGCATGTCACATGGTGATGAATTCACTGTCAATTTACTCAAAAATAAGCCTCAGTGTCCAGTTTTAGTGGCCTAGCATCCCAGGGGAGAGGTAAGGGAAATTTCTCTCCCCTCAGTATTCTCTAACAAATGCCATTTTCCCCCTCATAAGTGGTCCTTATACCACAGCACTTTTTACAAAGTGCCCTTCAGGCTGCTAATGTTTCACTGGTTCCTCAGAAATTGGGCAGCCATGGCAAAGAACACTGCAAAAAGACCTATGCTGTCCATTTTTAACAGTGCCACCATTTGAAATGATGTGTCCCCTTCCTGTGTAGGAAGGGGGAGCCAACTATCTAGATCTGTCTTAGCAAGAGAGACATTATTGCACGCCATTCAGCAAAGTTGAACCTGATGCAACTGTCTCAACCATCTGCCTCCATGTTTGTGCAATTAGTCACAACAAAATGTTTCTATGTCATTGCATACTGTCGGGGATGGATCAGCAATGCTCTGATGCCATGTCTGACCAGTAACCCATTTGTTACAGTGCGCCACCAAGAGTTTGTCGTAAAGAGGCAATTTTTCAGATTTACATGTGACAAATGCTTGGCTGCCTTTCCTCAATTTGCCTTTGAGCATACGTCAGAAGACAACTTAGAGCAATGTTTATTTACAGATTGGGACATTCAATGCAATCAAAAGAGGAAAGAATTAATTAAAACTGCTACTCGAACAAAACATGCTAATCTTCCCTACAAACAATCGAAGAAATTCAAGTTCCCACATGCAGCTGGCGAGTAGAATTTGTGGACCGTGTCCCACAAGGTACAGTAAGAAAATAGCCTCTCCATGGCAAGCTTTTGGTGAGCACTCTGGTAACCAGGAGATATTTTATGCATAGTTTACTACTCAAATTACCCAGTAGTTGATAAATGGTCACTGATCATTCTTGGCTCAGGTGGCTTTTAACTTCAACTTTTTTTCACTGTCTTAATATTTGTTTTAGATCCAGATGACTGTGCTGGCAATCCATGTTTGAATGGCGGCCGATGTATAGATGGAGTCAACACATTTACCTGTGACTGCTCATTAGTGGACTACCAGGGAACCACCTGTGAGACACGTAAGTGGACCTTTCTGGTGGTTCTCATTCTCTGTTTGCTTTGCAAAGAAGTTGTGTAAAGTTCAGTCATTCAGGAGTTTACTTCCAAAATGCAATAAGCATTCATAGATGATTAGATTGTTAACAATTGTGTACCCCTCAATTCTTTGGTTGCAACATATTTATTCTTTTCAGGCATAGATGATTGCATTCCCAACCCCTGCATCAATGGTCAGTGTGTGGACCTTGTTCGCCAATTCTCATGCAACTGTGCTGGCACAGACTTCACAGGGACCTTGTGTGAAAATCGTGAGTTATTAATATTGTCCACACATTTTCTGGGAAGTCTTTGATTGTGATTGTCCAAAACATATTCCAGTTTTGGGTAATTTGAAAGTTTTTATAGACTAGTCTGTCTAAGCTATCAAGGTAGTACGTCGATGTCATATAAGCTCACAAGGGGCATTTTACACGGGGAAGTTTTTCTTGTTTGTAGTCATTTTATTTTTGTTATTAAAAAAATTGCTATATATTGACAGAATCTTGCAGTTCAACAACATACCAGCTAAATATTGCCAAAGTAGCACACTGCATCCAAAATGTTGCTGAAAACCTGACCCTGACATTTTTTTCACCCTCAACTAAAAAAGTTGTCATCCCCCAGGTTACCATAGGCAAGCCAAATGAATGGTAGATGGACAAACCAGAGCATTTCAACAGTCCTCTGGGTTGAATGATTCTTAAATCCTGTTGTTCTCATTACATCAGGGATCAACGACTGCCCTGCCACCAACCCATGTCTGAACGGTGGTACATGTGTGGACGGAACCAACCCCGGAGAATTTATTTGCCAGTGTGCAGTTGGATTCTCTGGAATGCTTTGTAATAACAGTAAGGAGGCATAGCATCTTCCATAGCCTATGTCCCTTTTTTTTTTGTTTTTTTGGGAGGGGAGATGGGGGTGATTCGGAGGGTTGTAGTTCTGTTATAGTATTCATTACTGTGTTCTTTCTCTTATCATTTAAATTGTTATTAATTGCCAATAGCTTCATCTGTGAGGTGCTAGCATTAACTGCAGTCAAAGTTCAATGCTTCTCACATTGTTTTATCAGATCCTGATGATTGTGTTGGTACTCCGTGTCTTAATGGCGGTCGCTGTATAGACGGAGTCAACCAGTTCACCTGCGATTGCTCACAGGTTGACTTTGACGGGCCAACTTGTGAAACCCGTGAGTAGAAATTTTCAGATGAAGCACGCCCATGTTAGGAATGTTGTAAGATGTTTCTTTGGAACTGAACCCACAAAAATGAATGCAAAAAAATGGAATGATCCAGGGATTATCTCGCTTTGAAAGATTTACTGTTCCACATGTGAAAACTTACCTGATATTTCTCTCTTCATATTGTTACTACAATCCAACACAACACAGGGTTATGATTTGTCATTTGTTCATGTATGGATTTGTTTTACAGGTGTAAATGACTGTCTCCCCAACCCATGTGCCCAAGGTTTGTGTGTGGATGGCATCCGGAGTTTCACATGCGACTGTACTGGGACAGACTTTGAGGGGACCTTGTGTCAAAATCGTAAGTTTTGGGGGGTTCAGCGACAAAAGCCTCCAAAGACAGAATACTTAATTTCAGTAGTTAAGACTTGATCTGTCAAAATTCTTGTTAGCTTTTTGGAAAAATGCAACTGTTGAATGGATTAATCACTTTGTCTGTTTTTTTGCAAAAACTTCAGGCATAAATTGTTCAGCCTCAGAGGAAATTGGCTATTCTGTTCTTGTGGACAGAATTTGCCTTCTGAAGCAACTATTGTACTTAATCGGTTAATGGATTACCTCTATGCATTTAGCAGAGGTTTTGTTGCTTGCTTGAATACTGTGACAATATTGTTTTATAAATGTTTGGTCAGTCATCCCCAGCTCACATCAACTGCAGGACACAGTCATGGAGACAAAGGCTGAGATGAAAGAATAACCATCGGTATGTGAAACTAATCATTAAGTTTGAATTTTTATCTTTGCAGAGATAAACGACTGCCTTCCCAACCCATGCAGGAATGGTCGGTGTGTGGACGCCATCCGCAGCTTCACGTGTGACTGCACAAACACCGACTTCCAAGGGTTACTGTGTGAAAATCGTGAGTTGATTCGATTGTTTATTTTCAGTAAAACAATAACAAGTAATGATTGTTCAATTAAGCGATGATTGCATTGAAAATCTGTGTATTTGTTTTGGGGCTCGTGTAGAAACCACAGACTGCCTTTCAAATATCGAAACACCATGTGGTAACTAAGAAATTCTTGAAAACCCCAAAAAATTCCATCTGCAAAACATTTTCAAAGGTTTGCTGAGATGTTTGGGGAAAAACAGCATGTGTCTAAAAAAGATTTGCAGTTTGATGATTCAAAATCATTGCCAAAGAGGAACAGATAATCAGTCAACCTCATTTCGTTTGGTATTCCTTATTCTGCTGTTAACTTGAAGCTGCTACTGTATTTCTGTGTTGATTTAGAAATTGATGACTGCGCGAGCAACCCCTGCATTAATGGTGTTTGCCGAGACGGATTACGGTTGTATACTTGCGACTGCACCGGCACAGATTTTGAGGGCACCAACTGTGAAACACGTAAGTCAAAATGTTGTGACATTGCTGTATGGGGTTTTGTTACATGATTCGCAGCTCCCAATAATGTTGAAAGTTGGCAAGACAGTTAATGTCTGAGACTGGGACCAAGATGGGGACCATGCAGTGAAAACTCTGAAGCATGCCTGACCAATTTCTGTTAGAATATATGGTCCTCCTGCTTCCAGTCTACATGCTTCAAGTGGGAAACTCATCATACAGGCACAGGGTCATCCGTAGTTGGTGCAGGATGTGTGCTGAGCACGTGTAACCAATTTCTCAATGTGTCCTTCGTGTCCTGGGCACGTGCATGAGCCAGGTGAAAAACCTCCCAGCAGCCCGTCTCTTCCTTGCTGGTGAGGGAGTACTTTAACCCAGGGTGGATAACCTGAAGCATCTACACTGGGGAGGGGGAGGGGTTCTTGAGCAGGAAGCCTATTATTGATGTGAGGTGTAACAGAGTCACACTCTGACTCTTGGAGATGAATTATTGGTGAGAAAATGGACTACAACATGCAGTCACACACCCTTTAGGATGCTGCAGTTTGGGCTGATAGCAATGTAACAGTTTTTTTTGCCTTTGTTTTATCATTTTCACAATTTCAGAACATAAACTTCCAATTTATTGAATTGCATGAAGAAAATGTGGCTATAGTCATGCATACCTTCCGTGATGATGACAGTTGTCTAGAAAATTTCTGTCATAAGTGAGAAAATATTGATACAGTTTTTCACTTGAGATATTTCACTTGGCTATAGAAAACGGACTCTGCATACATGAGAAAGTGCAAATTTCCTGAGCTTACAAACCCCAATACATGCTCTCACACAATACGTTTTTGACTTGTGAATGGTTTTTACAAAATGCCAAATTTGTTTGTTTGGGTTTTTTTGACATCTGATTTGGAACAGGAGTGAACGACTGCCCTGTTCCAGACCCTTGTGAGAACGGTGGGGTGTGTGTGGATGGAACAACACCCCAAGCTTACTCCTGTCAGTGCCCAGCTGGATTCACTGGCTTCCTGTGCAATAACGGTAACATTGTCATATCCCAAGGATCCCTCATTAATGGAATCCACACCCCCTCAACTTTCCACAGAATGTGCACAAGAACTAGCATCTCTACATGAAACATTGTCATATCCCAAGGATCCCTCATTAATGGAATCCACACCCCCTCAACTTTCCACAGAATGTGCACAAGAACTAGCATCTCTACATGAAATAGATCACACACTGGCTTGGGTTCATAACTGAAATGGCACATTTGTGTTTGTCAGTGATAGTTTACGTTTGGAGCTGTTATTTTGGCTGAACCTCAGCACAGTATGCCAATACGACGTTTTCTTTGAAAGTGACACTTTTCATCTTCATGGTTGAAATCTTGCATAACTCATCAATTGAAAAAGAACTAGGAGCTAAGTAAATAAAGTTAGTCACTCATTGAAACAATTGCCAATCACAATCACACATATCCCAAAACATGAAAAGTTCTTGTGTCCTTACCTTGTTTTATAATTCAAACTCCTAAAGAGCACACTTTTCCCAATAGTTCTCTTCAGTAATCTTTGCTTTTTGTGGTCGTCACTTTGTTTTGTGGTTTTATTTAGATCCAAACCAATGTGACTCAAACCCATGCATTAACGGCATCTGTCTGGATGGAGTAAACATGTATACCTGCGTCTGTGCAGGCACCGACTTCACGGGCACCAACTGCGAGACACGTAGGTTTCAGAAACCCACATCTTAATAAATTTGTACTCTCTGTGTCGTGAACTCATGCAATACATACAATTTAATGTTCCCATTTTTGCAATAATCATTGATCATTACTTTAGGAAATGAAGTTTTGGGTCCTTGGTTCAGTTGAAGATAATCTGTTTAAGGAGCAGCAATAAAACGATAGAAGGGCGTCATTTTTCAAAGGTAGTCAAGTTTCAGCATTGCCAGCAGTACTTAACAGTTGAGGCATTGTGAAAAGAGGAACTTACATTTCATCTTTCCTGGTCTTGGTCATGAAATTTTAAACACATTTCTGTGATTATCCAGGAGTTTGCCAAAATCACAAATGAATCTTACTTCAAATATAATTCAAGTTTGTGCTGGAGTGGGGTCATTAAAAAAAATTTAATGACTCCATGCTCTTGTGCCAAACTCTGGCAGGCATTGACGACTGCAATCCCAACCCTTGCCTGAATGGTGGCCGTTGCACGGATGGTGTCCTGAGCTATACCTGCAGTTGTGTGGCCGGTTACGCTGGATCACGGTGCGAGACAGGTACGTGATTGACTGCAGCATCCCCTACTCCATCAGGTTTCAACCTGCTAGCAAGGTTACACACTTGCTCTGCACAATCTTGGCAACTGAGTGCTCTCTCTGTTAGGGACCAGAGATTTGAGTGTTGATGAGTTCCACCCAACGGTGTTTGTGAATTTTCTCTCACAAGCTCTTGCAAAATAAAGAGTCTTTATGATACTTAGTAAATTATATTGTCAAAGGGTAAAACCAAATATTAAAACGTATCTCATTGCTCAGCTGATAGTTGAGAGGACAGTTCAATCCTCAACTTTTAGGTAAATATCATAAAGGGAAAAGAAAGGGGCTTGTCAGCCAATAATGGGCCATGACTTGAAGGTTCCATGGGTCAGCATTTCAAGATAGCTGGTCTGGGTATTATCCCGTGGCCCACTGCTACTCTGTTTTGTGCATTAAAGTCAAGAGAAAGTCTCACGGGGTGAAGGCCACATATTGTTTGGGGGGCATGCATAAATTGAAAGGGCCATTGTACGATCAATGTACAGAAGCCAGCTATAAGCATGAGTGAGATTTGTCAGGATTTTTTGTGATTTCAGGATTTTGTTCATGAGGATTTTTCTGATGTAAGAATTTTTCAAACAATATCTTTTTAAATCTGGTAAATCCTGAGTTTACCATTAAGGAGATTTTATGTATAAAAGTTGACAGAGAGTACAAGAAATGGCCATTTCAAGTTAAGGAATGCTTGTAGGGAAACATGAATGTGCATGCCATAGACCCTAAATTGCTGTGGGGCTCTCAAAACCTCTAGTGATCAGTTCGTGGTAATTTTATTTCACCCAATCTCGCCCTTGGTTAAGGCAGAGTGCACTGTAGCCTTTGTATATCAACCAATTTTGAACAGGCATGTTTAGCCATGCTACATTTATGTGAATGGAAAATAGTAAAAAATAACGTAGAAAGTCATTTTTCGTCCTGACATGATGTTTCTCGTAGGTGGTACCTTGTTTTTTGACTGGTTGTAGGATTTTCACATCCTTGAAATTTTGTTTGTTTCTGTTCAGATGTTAATGAGTGCATCTCCAATCCTTGCGAGAACAATGGCAACTGCCAGGATTTGGTCAATGCTTATATGTGTACCTGCCAGCCTGGGTTCATTGGACCTACCTGTTCAGTCAGTAAGTGTACAGGAGGGCCCACACTTCAATAAAAAATCTTGTCCTGCCCTCAAGAAGATCCTGGGTCAAATTGAGCCTGAATCTGGGTCCATATTTGCTCGATACTTTAGGTTTGAAAATAACATTTTCATAGGTCATTTGACTCCTAAAAGTGTGCATATTTTTTACCTGAATGAAAGTTGAGAAGAATTGGACCCAGATTCCCAACCAATTTGACTCAGGAGTTTTAAGTGGATGGGCAGCTTACGCATTGCTCAAGACAATGAGAGGTCAATAGTATTGTGGGTGACAACCCTCTGTCTCCTTTCACCTCAGTGATGTGACTAGGGGATGTTTTTTTTTTAATTTTGAAATGAATATGACCATATACTGCTAGTGTGCTTCAAATTCCTTTGAGGAAAATTACGTACAGCCCCTGCCCCCCGTGCCCTCTGAAAACGTTCACCCCATCTTCACCATTGTTTCATTTCTCTGTCATTCGTGTCAGATCCAGACGATTGTGCCGCCAACCCGTCACAGATAAAGTGCCTAAACGGGGGTACCTGCCAGGATGCAGTGAATGGCTACACCTGCCTCTGTCCAGCTTTCTTCTCGGGTGATCGCTGCCAGAACAGTGAGTTAGACACAAACCTGTAGTGGTGTAAATTGGTTCAGAAAATGGGGGGGGGGTGGTTTGGACAGGAATTGTGGGAGAATGACTTGCCAAATGCCAACCTGCAGCGGTCATTTGCTTAACATTTGTGCGAAATTTGTTACTGCACTGTGACTTTGTTGAAACTCTGAGACAATATTGAGGAGTGGTATTTCCTACAATGCCTACCCATTGTTCTTTGTTGGCTCCTTGGGGGATGGCACATGCATTCAGCCTGTCTTTGGAGCCTCTCTGAGTGTGTCCAAACTCAGTGGGAATCACCAGAGGGTAGGGACGAGTATAAACGCCATGTAGCGCTACATACAGCATTTGACGAAACATATTTAAAGATCCATTGCAATTTGACACAGGGGATCCCTGTTTGTTTAGATGTTGTTCCTCACAAAATAGTTAATCTAGGCTGCAAGCAACTAAAAACAGGAGATTACTCAACAGGAGAAATTTAGGAGAGGCAAAAACATCAGAAGGATTAAAGGTTTCATGCTATAGACAATGGAGTAACACTGCACCCTTTGAGCTATCTTGGATATTGGAACTCCCTCCCCCCAGGATTTAAGCCAAGTTCTTTGCAAAGCTGCTCATTACAGAAACATGTAAAGATGCATTTTCACACATTACTATTCCATGGTCACAGGAACATGTTTAGCATGACGGTCATCGTTGGTACTGACAGCATCACAAGGACATTCTAAAGACCGGTTCATACGTCAGGCAAATGTGAAAGCGAAGCAAGTTTGATGTCACAAAATATTTGCAAAAAAATGTTGCTCAAGTTGAATTGTGTTCAACTTTTTCAGATTCACAGGGTGAATATTTGATATAACGTCACAAATTCATGGTTGTGTTTGCTTTCGTGCTAAGTACAAACCAGCTTTAAGTCCCAAGAGACCAGCCCATTAATCTTGCCGACAAAAGAGAACTTGATTGTCATGATACATAGTCTGAGGTACATAGGCCATTTTCATCACTCAAACCTCTCTCTTTTTTTTGTCAATCCTTCAGATGACAATGACTGTGCTACCAACCCCTGCATATTTGGTATCTGCAGGGACGGAAACAATCAATTCACCTGTGAATGTACCCCTGGTTACACCGGCACCCTTTGTGAAATAAGTAAGCCCTTCCAATTTTTACGCTCAACCCAGCCTTTTTTGTATTGCCCAACAAACTTTGAGAGGGAATAATCTATACAATGGGTCATCACATTTTTTTCAACAATTGTCAATCGCTAAGTGGTTTGTCCAATTAATATTTATTCTTATGGGAAAATTCTATGGGGTCTGATATATTGCTTGATCTAACTCAGAAGCTTTGTAATTAAGTCGGGTATCTGTCTAAATTTGATTACAATTTTTTGGCCTCTTCCTACAGACGTGAACGAATGCTTCAGCACTCCATGCCAACACCAGGGTGTCTGCATTGACATGGTGAACTTCTTCCGATGCGAATGCACAGAGTACTTCCAGGGAGTGGTGTGCGAAATACGTGCGTAGACTCTTTCAAGAAGTTTGAATTTCATTTTGCTTCTTATTTACCTTGATTATCCTGTCTAACTTAATGAGTCACAAGTTGTTGCATCCACTTCTGAATTGTAGCTCTTTAAACAAAAATCTTAATTCTCGCACAGTGCAAATCAGCATGCAACCTCAACATTTCTTACTAACATATTGTGCCTGCATGTATGTGCCTCAGGATGCCCAAATTCCTGGAAAAATAGCCTTGAGACTCATATTGTTGGATATAGTGTCACATGGAGTTTTGACACCACCCGTGGCTCTCTTAGCAATACCCCTATGGTACATTAATTTATACCATTCCCTGTTAACTTCTTTTTTTAACCCCTGTTTCCTTGTAGCGCGGGCAGCCGATGTTGTCGTCACAACCATGGAGCCCAACCGGATCCGTGGCACTTTCGTCAACATCATGGCCGATGACCCTCAGTCCAGGTACCAAGTCAGGGTGACAAACCCCCAGGGGCAGCAGGTACAGGTTGTCGAGTACACCCCAGCAGACGTTGTCAATGGCATGATCAACTTTGAGGTGGGCGGCCTGAGCCCGGGCACTGACTACACGGTGGACCTGTCTGTGGTAAATGGCAATGGACAGACGTTCAACCTGGACTCACTTAATACACGGACTACAAGTAAGCACATGCTTGATAACTGCTACCTGAAGTATAACTGTGGAATGGAACTTCCATTTTTGCAGTTCAGGGAACAAATAATTCAATAAAATGTGACTAGAGACTCAGCAAACACACAGATAGCTAGTGAGCCCATGCTCAACACTGATTGCCACCAATAGTTTGACTCTGCATCAGAACTTCCATTCACTATAAAATGGAACTTCCATTTGTCTTGGAATGAAACCTTTTCTTCTGCACTGCAGAAGATATATTAAGATATATAATACGTATATTCAGTGTTTTCAATGACCCACAAAACACACCCATTAAAAAAAGCCCACACTCAATATAATTGCAACTTCAAGACACAACTTCAACTTATCCATCAATTTTTCCAATCTTGCCATTAAAACACCAAAATGCCTTCCTTGCTTGTTTTTGTTTATTGTCATCAGCCATCTGCAACACCAACATCTGCCTGAATGGAGGTACATGTCGTGAGGTCGCCACCCCCCAGGGGTACGTCTGTGACTGTGCGGTTGGCTTCGAAGGCACCCAGTGTGAAACTAGTAAGTGGCAAATCAAATCTCAATAACAAGATATGTTTTGCAGATAATGAGCTTGTCACCGGAGGCTGTTTAACCCAAAGAGAACGAAGGGTGGGGATCTACTCCACCCCCATCTGACAGTTTCTCTTATATTATCACCTTGCACTTTCTTTCGTTGGACCTTCAGGAGTGCGTGTTGATGCCAGTCATGTTTTACAATCCTTTTTTTTAAAACAAAGTTAGTGGAAATTTTACATATCGATCTCATGTAATCCCATTTATCTGAGATCAGTCACCCCAAAATCTTAAGTTTTCCCTTTGATACGTTCTCAGTGTATGCTGGCCGACACGCACGAGGGCGTAATTTATAATTGAATGCCACAATCAACGCCACAAGTATTTGTTCAGTCTTTATTGCCACACTCTGGTGTGCGCCTGTAGAGCAAAACTTGTTGCCACCACAAGCCATGCACAGCGGCAAAGTTCCAAAGACTTCTTTGTGTTGTTTGTGTACAAAACAAATTAGGGAGTAGCATGTTTAAATGTCAACCAGTGATGGGTCAAGCATATGTGTCTGCTTAACCAGTCGGTCCTGCCTGTGTGGACAGATGGCCTGATTGAGTTTACACATAGTGGTCAGTCCTTTGGCAAAGTGGTTGTTCCTTTTGTTTGGTCAAAAACAGATATCAACGAATGTAACAGCTCACCATGCAGGAACAACGGAAATTGCCAGGATCTAGTTGGTCAGTTTCGTTGCAACTGCGTGGGACCCTGGACCGGCCCAACCTGCACTGTCCGTAAGTAGTTACCTAAATCACTTTGAAATATCTGTTATTAGTTGATTTCATAAATTCATTTTACATAAAATCAGTACCTCCATCAGTCTGTGCCCCAGCTATTGAGGGCACTGTTTGACTCGGCAACCATTAGCTTGTACCCTGCGCCCATGCACTAAGACCCATGGATATCTGCTAAATTTCAATCATGTTCATTGGATAATTTTTCAGCACTTCCAGACAAGGGAGTAGGTTGCTCAGTGCTGCTAAACAGAGAATTTTTAAGCGTATAAGGCATTTACTTTGCAATGAATCTTTGTAATGAGTAAGAGCTGCAGCAGGATAACTTTATGATTACAGGCGTTAACAAGTATGCAGAAATATATTTTAGCAATTTATCATTAACAGATGAATGATGGCTTTAAACAGTAGTTATCTGCTAACCGCCCACAGTGGATTCTAAGTAGGCATTCATTCCTAAATAGTTGTCTGACTCCTTTATTTCCAATGGGATATCACAGCCACCTCAGTCAACTTCAACGCTGGCGCTTCGACCTCCGAGTCTGTGCAGGTCATCTGGAACCAGCCTGTCGGGACCGAGGTGCCCAACTATGTGGTCACCTTGGAGAACATTGGGGGCGGAGTCCTGACCACAGCCACGGTGCCCGCCACGGACGTGGTCAATGGCTTGATAGACTTCACGTTCCATGCACCCCAACCAGGGACGAACTACGTGTCCAAGCTCTTTGCGCTGCTAGATGATGGGTCACGGTGGCCATTGGCGACCTTGAGCACCAGCTCTGGAAGTAAGTGGAGTTGGAGAAAAAATCTTAAATCCTAGAGTGCTCTGGGCAGATTGAATGTGTAGAGGGCATAATTCCATTAGAAAAAGATGTACTTATTAAAAACAAATTGGCACAAGGAGAATGATTAGCTTATGGTAGCCTTCCAGCTGGGAAAGTCCTTGTGTCCGTAGGGAAGATACTTGCTCCAGTTAGTGGTCAAGTCAGTACAGTTAGCACATTTGACAGCAAGAAGGTTTATGCCATATTTTGTCCATCAGACCTAAATAACCCTTTTACTGCCATGAACATCTAGAGGATGAAGGTGTAGTGATAAAAAACAATATCTGCCTTGAAATGTTCTTCTTTATAAACTATTTATTGGGTATCTGTGGTATATGTGGTTAAATTGTGCCTACCTACATTGGGAGGACAACCTGTATATAATATTGTGA